CTGTCAAGCTCACTCCTCCCGCCCTACCAACCCGCAAGTAGCACCCAAGACTCGGCACAGGCAGCGGTCGCCCTCCCACGGGCAGGCACGGCTAGCCATGGTAGGACGCAGGTTCGCCAGGTGCGCAGATGCGCCAGGCAGGCCACGCGTGCAAGGTACGCGAGGAGCGCAGCGTGCCCCACGTCCGTCGCGCGCGCCAGGCGAGCCACGCGCACCAGGTAGGCCAGTCGAGCCAGGTGCGCCACGTGACCTGCGAGCCCTGCGCGCGCCAAGGTCACCAGGTGCGAAGTTGCACGCGGTGGCACGCGTGGGACGAGGTGTTTGCCACGCTATCCTCGTCGAGAATGCAAAGGGTGGGGGCATGTGTTCAGTATGGGCAGTGTGCGCCCACGCTCTTTCTGCAAAATGTTTGATTCGGATTGTGAGTCTTTCCCGAGCAGCGCTTGCGCTGGTGTTCTTACTTCCCTTCTGAGGAACTGGGCCCGGGTGCGGCCCCGGCGGTCCCGTTCCCGTCCGTCCCCGCACGACTTTTTGATAAAAGGCCAGTGTGGCCCCGGCGGCCCTGATCCCGCCCGCCCCGTTGCACCCCCCCCCTGTTGCACTGCAATTGCGATGCAATCCTATTGCAGTAGCATTGCAATCGCCATGCAATCGCATTGCTTCGGATCCCATCGCACTGCATTGCAATCGCAGTTCGTTGCATTGAGCTGCACTGCGATGCGAAGCCAGGCAAATGCAATCGTGCAATTGCAGTGCAACCTGGGGGGGGCGCGGCGGCGACGGGCCGGAGCGAGGCCGCTGGGGCCGCACTGGGCCCAGCTCCTCAAACGAGAAGTAGGAAGCTCTAAGCGCAAGCGCTGCTCGGGGAAGGAGGCAGGATGAGAGCGGAGTGCATGTTTGCTCGCTTTCTCTGGCGCTCGGACATGAATAGGGGAACAAAAAGAGACATAAACATAACAACTCGGAGGTCCGCGCGGATTTCTCGGCTCGGCGCTGGGGCCCCCCCGCGGCGCCGGAGGCGCCGCCCCTGGCGCGCTCCGCGCGCCAGGGAGGGGGGTCCAGCGCCGATCCGTGAAATCCGCGCGGCCCTCCGAGTTTTTTACGTTTTTGTTTTTTTTGTTCCCCTAATGAAGGATTGCAAAGGATTGCAATCCTTCCTCCGAGTTTTTATGTTTTTGTCTTTTCTTGTTCCCCTAATGACGTCTGACTCGCAAACGCGCCCTCCAGCCTGCTCGCCCGAGGCCGCCGCGGGGGCCCCCGACGGCCGATGCTCCGCAGCGGGCGCAGCTGCGCCGGCACCGTGTCCGGCCACGGCCGTCCTGGGCCCAGGGAGAGTGGGTGCGCGGAGCCTCCGTGGCCTCCTGCGGGGAGGGCGTGTGCACGAGTGTGCTGGGGCTAAAACAGGGCTAGGATCGGGATAAATCGATCCAGAGCGTTCCGGAGCGCTCTCAGAGCGTTCCCGAGCGCTCTGGAGCGGCCGCGGCGCCCAATACATCCTCCAAACCCGCCGATTCTCAGAGATTTCGAGTTATCCCGATCCGATTTTGTCCCGATCTTCGCGTCGTTTTAGGGGCCCGGTTTGGAGGATGACCTTGGCCGAGCACTGCTCAGGAGGGGAAAAAACACAGACACAATTAATCGGCGATTCCCAGAAAAGATTGGAAAATATGACCCAGAAAATATGTGAAAATATAGGGGAATTTGTTTATTTGTGTGTATTGATTTGCGTGTCCCAGTTCCCCTTCAACTGCGCCCTCCGTGCAGGTATGGTTGGGGGCGGACAGAACCCCCAACAGTGACACGTCGATTCGTGGATTGTCCCTTTGCGGCTCTCGAGAGGGCGCCGCGGCTGTCATTTGCCAGGCGTGCGCCCGCCAGGCTTGGGCCTCAGGTCGTTTTCACCAAACCACGTTTTACCAAAGGGAGGCCTGCCCATCCCCGACAGGGCGCTGCGGAGCTCATCCTCGGGCGACGTGCGGCAGGTTCGTGCCGTCTCGACGCGGCGGCGGGCCCGGCGCGGGCGTTCCAGGCGGACCGTCGCCAGCGGCCCGGAGGCGACCGATGTGGAGCGAGGCGCGCTGCGGGAGTCTAGGCCTTAGGCGATGCTTAAGAAGACCTAGGTTTTCGGCCAGAGTCTCGATTATTCTTAACGTTTCAATGTAAATCTTAAGATTTTCATGGAAATGTTGGGTTTTTATTCAAGTTCTGAGACCATGAGTTTCTTAACCCATGATTTCTTAAGCATTTCGCAGGGTCTAGGCCTCCTAGATGGGGTCGGAGGGTTAGATGGAGTCGGAGGATCGCGCCATATCGACGATGCATCGACGATGCGGCTCGATGTGGAGCCCGAGCCTCTCTGCGCGGACGTCGCCGCAGCATCGCCGATGCATCTCTGGTGCATCACCGATGCATTGCCGATGCATCGCCGATGCATCGCCGATGTATCGGCGATGCGGCGCGATCCTCCGATCCCATCTACTCCGACCCCATCTGGGAGGCCTCTATAGGGAGAGCCGCGACCGCTCAAGGCGGAGCGAGCCGCGCGGCGTCGGGAGCCAGCGCGCAGGTCGGCAAGGCACGAGCCTGCCGTAGACGGGTACGCATCGGTCGTTGTAAGTAGGTATTTCTGGAGTCCCAGATTCTCATCTACTTCAAGCGCCTTCCTACTTCAATGATGGTCGAGTGGCTTCCCCTTTTCCGTCCTCTTTAGGGGGCGGGCGGGCACCCAATCTGCTTTCAACGCTTTCCTGCTTCGTGTTCCTACCTGCTGCGTTCGACCGATGGGCAACGCGGGGCCCACTAGGGGGCCACATGTGAACCCTACCCCTATCCCCCACGATTTCTGAGGGGGAGGGTGGGGTTCACTTCGTGGGGGGTAGGGGTAGGGGTGGGGTGGGTCAAGCTAGCCAGCTCGAGCGAGTCAAGCATGGCATGCCCATTCCCACCCGCCCTCCCACAACATAAGAAACAGTGATGGCACAACTGGGGGCTGCGCGGGCATTTCAGCGTCGAAGGTCCCAGAGCGCTGACTTCCAGGTCCCAGAGCGCCCCAGGAACGCCCCAAGAGAGCCGAGACGCCCCCGAGACGATCCGAAGGGCCTTGAGTCGCCGAAAGATCGTTCCAAGACGCCCAAGATGGCCTCCAGACGGCCGCAGACGCCGCCAAGAAACCGCGGGGAACCGCAGGAGGCCCTCCAAGAGCGTGGACAAGCAAAAACCCCCCAGGCATTCGTCACCCCAGGGCCTCCTGGAACGCCCCGGCGCCCAATGAATTGGCGAGCTAAAAACGCGCGCCGAGCCAATGCGGGAGCGCAACTTTGAGAAAATTTGCTTGGCGCCCAAGCGGGAAGGTCATCTCATTCACTTCGAGCGGGGGGGGGGGCCGCGCCCACTTCTTGCAATGCACTTTTGCGGGGTGGGCGACAAGAACAGCTATGTGGGCAGGGAAAATCAGCATGGCATTGTTTCTGACAAGTAAGGTGGCCCCTCCCGCCTTGGGGTTGCCCCAGAAGTCCGCGCGCGATGTGCGCCGCGCCCCATTCCTGCCACGCATTTCGCATCGTCGACGACAAGACAGGCCATGATGAACGGAAAAACGGCAACTCGGCATTGTTTTGTACAGTCAGGATGGGAGGGCACGCGGCACGCATGGACGTCCGCGCGCGATGCGCGCCGCGTCCCCGCATATTTCGCACCGTCGGCGACAAGGCAGGCCATGCTGAGAGGAAAAAACGGAGACTTTGTATGGATATTTTCCACTCGGGATGGGCGGGCCCGGATTGACGGCCGCGCGCGATGTGCGCCGCGTCCCATATGTGCGCCGCGTCCCAATGCTGCCACACATTTCGCACCGTCGGCGACAAGGCAGGGCATGCTGAGAGGAAGCAGCGAAGTCTTTGCATTTAATTTTCACAGTCAGGATGGGCAGGCCCAGATTGACTGCCGCGCGCGATGTGCGCCGCGTCCCATTCCTGCCACGTTTTTCGCATCGTCGACGACAAGAAAAACGATGTTGAGAAGAAAAACGGCCACTTTGTATTGATTTTCTGCAGTCTGGATGGGAGGTCCCGGATTGGGTCGCTATCGGCCGGAATACGAGGTAGGTGGGGGCATATAATAATAAGGAACAAGGATTGGGGGGTAGGGGGGGTAGGGGGCCACATGTGAACCCCACCGTCCCCCTCAGAAATCGTCGGGGGTAGGGGTAGGGTTCACCTCTGGCCCCCTACCCACTGGCCCGGACGAGGGCCAGTCGAGACAACGGCGGCTCTCCTGCCCAGCACGAGGCCGCTCAGAATGTGTCCCTGGCGTTCGAGGCAGAGTCGGGGGCGGCCAGGACGGGGGTGGTGACGAGGGGGCGGTGGATATCATTTCGGAGGTGGACAGACCTCCCACCCTGACACGTCGATTAAGGAATTGGCCGTTTTTGGTTCGCGAGAGGGCGTCGCGGTCGTCATTTTTGCGGGTCCAGGTCCGTCGGTTTCAGTCCCAAGCCGCTTTCACTAAAGGGAGGTCTACTAAAAGGAGGTTTGTCCACCACCGAATCATGGCGCGGGCCATAATGTTTCCACAGATTTCATGGCGCATTCATGGCCGTCGGCCACGAATGCGCCCCCCCCCTCTTGGGCGCCCCCCTCTTGGCCGCCCCCGACAGAGCCAGCCGTTGCGACGAAAAGCCTCCAGGAGGCCCGAAGAGGGCGCAGAACGCCAGGGGGCCCGGCCACCGTTGCCTCTACTGGACCCCCTCCGAATGGTCGAACGAGCCTTTTAGTCGCAGCGAAAGTTTGAACCCTACCGCCGCCGATCAACGATCTGGGCCACTCTCGAAGTGCGGGGTGGGGGCGGGCAGGGTTCGAAGTCCGTCGAGGGCGTGGCGGAGTCCGAAGCCTGCCCCCGCCCCCCGATCGGTGCAGGAGAATCGACCGGTCGGGGGGGGGGGGGGGGGGAAAGCAGGGCTCGGACGTCGCCACCTGCCCAGCCGGCCCGCGCCGCCGCGCCAGTTGAGCGTGACCCAGGGCCTCCTCAACCTCGCGGCCCAGCTGGCCGGCTCGGCGCGCTCCGCCTCCCCCCAGAGCGCGCGCGGAGCGCCGAGGGATGGGCGCCCCTCAGGGGGGGCGAGGAGGGCGTCTCGGGAGGAGGGTATTGTGTCAGGGCGAGGGCGAGGGAAGGAGTGAGGGACTGCAGTCGGGATCGATGATCAGGATGGTCAGCCTGCCACGGGTGCCCTTGCATCCTTGCCTCTCCGTTCCATCCTGAACCCGCTCGAAGAAAGGACCTGCCAGCTTGATGGTTTTGTCAACGCGCCGGACAATTTCGGGTTCGGAAGGGGCTGCCTGGTCCTTGCGGCCGTGCATGGTTTTTTCATGTAGCTCTTGTCGTGCAGGCGCGTTTGGCCAACAGGGGCTTCGCTCCTTACTCAGGGCTTGAGTGCAAGTTGGTACGAGGAGGATGTCTGGATCTAGGATAGTCGCCAGGGTCGAGGAGGACCTTCTGGACGAGGACTGAGATCGGACGAGGATGAGGTACAGAGCAAGGGACTACAAGGGTGTCCACGGTTCTGTCGATTGCCGTGTCGTTGCTGCGTCGTTGCACCTTTCTAGGCTTCTTGCGGCCTGCTGGTTTCGATCGGGTTCGGATTTGCTGTCGATTGTGCCGGTTGCCGGTCGTGCCGTCGCCGTGGACGGCCTCGACGGCAAGGGGGGGGCGAGGTCAGGATTGCCGTAGGACCAGGTATGGGGGAAGGGCTGATGGACAGTGCGAGATGGAGGGAGAGTGATGGGGGACGGTAGAGGGAGAGGAAGGGGGAGGGGGTGAGGGGGAGGGGAGGGGAGGGCTGGAGAGGAGGGGAGAGGAGAGGGAGAAGGAGAGGGGGGAGGCAGGAGGAGGAGCAGGCCAAGGCGACGAAGAAGTCGGAGGGCGGGGACGTGGATGGTGTGCGGGGTGGAGAAGGAGAGATGGATGGGGAGGGAGATGGGAGAAACCCAGGAGGTTCGATGGAATGAGGGAGGATCGGGGCGGGAAGCGGAAGGGATGGACGCGGGACGGAGCAGCGAGATGGTGGGACGAGGGATGGGGGACAGGGGCGGTGCCATCACTGTGTACGTCATCAGCACGCTCCGAATCATATTGAAGCCAGTAGGCATGCCTGGGATACGTGCCACGACTGACAAGCTTCCGATCCACCCAGTAGGGTCCACCTCGGTCCGACCGATCCGAATCGGCATCCGAATCAGCCGTTGTTTGTGCATGTCGGCTCAACCGATTCGATTCGATGTCGATTCCGTGCCGATGCAGCTCGATCCGATCCTTAGCTCCGATCCGCTTCGGTCTGGCGATCCGACGCTGTGTGCTCCTGCATGCCCGCGTGGCGCGCCACGACCGACGAGCTTCCGATCCACCCCGCCGTCCGCGCTGCCCCAGCGATCCTATCCCCACAGGTGCCGCACGCGCCGCACCCGCCCCCTGCCCAGTCGCTGCTCCTCCCCCCCCACCCGGTTGCCCGTCTTTAGCACGTCGAGGCCGTCAGCGCCGCGCGTGACGTGCTGCACGCTCCGAAGCGCGCCCCGCCCCTTCCTGTCTTTTGTTCTCGTTGCGAGTCTTGGAGGGGGGCACGCCCCCGCGCGCACTCTCGCGATCGCGAGCCGCGCCCGCATGCCAGCGGCGCAAGCGCCCTGGAGCCTCTGGACCTCGGCGCAAACCCCCACGTCGTCTCCCGTACTGGCCCACTGGCCCTCGTTCTCGCACGCGCTGATCCCCACACGGTCACTGCACTACAGTGACAGTGTTGCCCGTTCTGGCTACCCGCTGAAGAGGGCGGCGAAACCGAGCGTTACTTCGTCGCCGAGCCGGCCAGCTTCCCACCGCAGTGCGAGCGTGGACTCTTGTGGCGTGCGTCGGAGGCTCTGGGGAACAGGCGCCGTGAGGGCGAGGCGGTGGGGGGATCATGTTCGGTCCTGTTGATCTTGATTTTTGAATTTCATCAGATTTTCCCAAGCGAACTTTAGGCGAACCTTTTTGAATCCTGGACAGAACTATCAGTTCCAACCCTTTGCGACAATATCCGCGCTACAACACTGTAGCTGATCGACATTTGGCTCCAACTCCTTTTCCGCGCGCGTTGGTGCACAATTCGCCCAGCTGCGGCCTGGCTGCTGCTGATTACTCGACGCCTGGTGTCCCACGTCGCCGTTTATGAAGCAAGGACCTAAAACGTTGGGCCGTCAAAGCGACGTAGTGGGCGGGCGGGAGCTGGAGTGCTCAAAAGCCGCGCGTGGTGTTGAATCCTTCGAGCAGTGGTGCCCTCCTGAAGTGAACCTGGTCTGCAGTTGTGATTTTCTCCACGGTTGCGACGAGTGGGTCCAGCAGATCCAGCGACCCAGTTGGCACGCCTCTGCAGAGTCGTTCGTTCGTTCGTCCTTCGTCCCTCCTCCAGGGGTGGTAGTTGTCTGCCGCCGCCCCCACCCCCCCACATGCCCGTTCGCCTGTCTTTCGGGCCCTCGTTTGGTCCCGTTGCTGCCTTGGGGTTAGCCCTTGAATTCAAACAAGCGTCCAAAACAGAATGCATTGCTGGTTCGAGATTGAGTTGGCTGGTTGCTTGGGTGATTGTGTCTGGATGGACACTTGCAGGTTGGCTGGAGCTGGCTCGCAAACTCGCTGGCAGGAAGGCTGGCGGGCTCGGAACATGGATCCATAGTTTTGAGCGAATGATCGCGGCATCGAGAACGCGCATTCACATTCTTGCGCGGAGTAATCGCGGCTTCGGTACCATAGGTCCATGTTTGTTTTACGCGGGATCCTGGTTTCGGGAGCGCGGGTCCATTGTGTTGGTGTTCGTGGTGCGAGGGATCTCGGAGGAAGGAGAGGCGGCACCAGCACCACCACCAGCACCACCACCACCACCACTACCACCACCACCACCACCACCACCACCACCACCACCACCACCACCACCACAGCCACACGATGCCTCCCCGAGCTGGACCACCCCTGGCGCCTGGCGCTGGTGGTGGTGGTGTCGCCTTTCTTTGTTCCTAGGACCTTTTTCCCTCTCCCTTCGACCGACCCCTCTTCCTCCCTCCCCTCCTCCTGCATGGTGGCCAATTCGCTGCATCGGTGGCCCCGGTTAGTCAGCTCATCCGCCAGCGCAGACGATTTCTACCTAGCCGCCGACGCAAGCATGTCCTTAGGAACCTGGCCTCGGGATCGCGGATCCATTGCTGATGCGCGGTTTCTCGGCCTCGGGAGCGTGGATGCATCGTTTTGTGCCAGGGGGGCTTCTTGCTTCGGGAGCCCATGCAGGTTATTCTCACCCAGTATTGTGGCCGCGGGAGAGCGGCTCAGTAGTACTGCTAGTGATGATCTTGGTTCCGGGGGCGCGGATCCATAGCTTTTGTTACGGAGGCATGGCCTGGGGAGTGCCGGATCATCGTTTTGTTGTTTATCAAGGTTCGTGGCCCCGGGGGGCGCTGATCAATGGCGCGGAAAATTGTTCGGGCTCGTCGACGTTTGAAAGATGGATTGTGACCTGGCAGTGCGGAGCTGTCTGTTTACGTGCCCCAGAGCTTACATGAGCTGAGGATATGTAATGCAGGCCTGTTGAAGGCATCTTTCTGGGCCGTGGAGTGTCGCCTGCGTTTTCATACATGTCCCTGAGAAACTGAGCAGGTCCGTGTTCGGAGAACTGGTGACTCTAAATCTATGTTGCCAAGTTGCAGCGGTCCTCAGGACATTGCAGCGTCCCGAGTTGCATCATTGCGAAGATGAGAGCTCAGCGGCCCAATTTCCGAAGCATATACTTTACAGGCTGATGGCCCCCGCAAATGGGGCGGACGGATTGTGGGCGGGGGCCAGGGCCCTTACGAGGGCCAGGACCCACTCAATAGGAAGGAGTGTTTTCCAAATGCCCGACTTACAATGGTTTCAGGTGCAACCGTGAAAAGCTCTAGGCCCTGCAACGATTCGGAACCGTGCAACCCGACGAACATGCTTCCTCCCGCCCTCATTCTTCGTTCCTCCCTTCCCCCCTTCTCTCATCCGAGTCCGCCTTGGCACACACGCGCATCCGCGAGGACGACTCTGAAGGAGCTCGCGCGGACAGGCTGAAAGAGCACGGATGCGCCAAGCACGGCACGAGGAGGAGGATGTGGAGAAGGAGAGAACATGTATGACATAGGGGAGAGGACGGAGGGAGGAGGAGGCTAATTAATGGAGAGGACCAGCCGCGAACGTGGGGCTGGAGATATTTTAGGTATTCCCTTCCTCTTTCCCCTCCCTCCCTCTCCTCTGCAGTTTCCTGTTACTATCATTATTCTGCTTGTGCTTACTCTTCTTCTTTGTGCTCTCACATGTCGCCTCGCGTGCAGTCGTTTTCCGTCCTTCCCGCTCCCGAGCCAGCGGTCGCAGCGGAGCGTCGGGGGCGGAGCCGCGCGCCGGGCGCGCGGAGGTTGTCGGAGCGCTCGTACTGAGGGCCGTGTACGCAAACCACGCGAAGGACGCCTCCCTCCGCCCCTCGGCGCGCGTCGCCTCGCCAGCTGCGGCCAGGGGAGCCTCCCCGCCGGCTCCCCCGGAGGAGGAGCTCCGAGGAGGGGTCGGGAGCCTCGAGACGGGGGTCAGTGCAGACGGGGGTCAGCAACGGCACTGGATCCTGCAGGATCCTGCGAAGACACCCTCTGGCTGACCCGGGTTCGCGAGCCGTTCGTGGCCGCGAGGCGGCCGCACATGTTGGCTGATCCGGGTTTGCGAAGACCTGCGTTGCAGTTTTTCCCAACCATCCTGTGGTGTTGGGTCCTCGTTTTGAAGAGACGGTGCCCCGCGTCCTCCTCTCCTCTCCTCTCCTCCTCTGCCCCTTCCTCCCTCCTCCCCCTCCGCGTCACCCACACCCAATTCGGCACACCCCTCACACGTTTCGTGGCCCCATAGGAGCTCCGCCGAAGGCCCCAGCCCCACACCCAATTTGGCACACCCCTCACACGTTTCGTGGCCCCATAGGAGCTCCGCCGAAGGCCCCAGTGCTGCTGCCCGCATGCGTCCCCAACACCCAATTTGGCACACCCCTCACACGCTTCGTGGCCCCATAGGAGCTCCGCCGAAGGCCCCCAGTGCTGCCGCCCGCATGCGCCCCCCACACCCAATTCGGCACACCCCTCACACGTTTCGTGGCCCCATATGAGCTCCGCCGAAGGCCCCAGTGTTGCCGCCAGCATGCGTCCCCCACACCCAATTCCGCACACCCCTGACACGTTTCGTGGCCCCATAGGAGTTCTACCGAAGGCCCCAGTGCTGCCGCCCGCATGCGTCCCCCACACCCAATTCGGCACACCCCTCACACGTTTCGTGGCCCCATAGGAGCTCCGCCGAAGGCCCCAGTGCTGCCGCCCGCATGCGTCCCCCACACCCAATTCGGCACACCCCTCACACGTTTCGTGGCCCCATAGGAGCTCCGCCGCCCCAAGGCCCCAGTGCTGCCGCCCGCATGCGTCAATTCCCCACACCCCTCACATTCGGCACACCCCTCACCCACGCACACCCCTCACACGTTTCGTGGCCACATAGGGAGCTCCACCGAAGGCCCCCGTGCTGCCGCCCGCATGCGTCCCCCACACCCATTTCAGCACACCCCTCACACGTTTCGTGGCCCCATATGGAGCTCCACTGACGGCCCCAGTGCCGCCGCCCGCATGCGTCCCCAACACCCACTTTGTCAAACCATTTGTACGTTTGCACGCGTCCCGCGCACCCATTTCGGCACACCCCTCACACGTTTCGTGGCCCCATAGGGAGCGCCACCGAAGGCCCCGGTGCCACCGCCCGCATGCGTCACCCACGCACATCCCGGCGCACCCCTCAAGCGTTTCGTGGCTCCATAAGGAGCTCCACCGAAGGCGCCTGTGGCTGCGCTCGCATGCGCCCACCGCACCCATTTCGGCACAGCCATCACACGTTTCGCGGCCCCAGAGGTAGCTCCACTGACGGCCCCAGTGGCTGCGTTCGCATGCGCCCACCGCACCTATTTCGGCACACCTCTCAGCGCTTCGTGACCCCATCGGGAATTCCACCAACAGCCCCAGTGGCTGCTTTCGCATGCGCCCACCGGACGAATTTTGGCACACCCCTCACACGTTTCGTGACCCTGCAGGGAGCTCCTCCGAATGCGGTGCGTACAACGACGGTAAGCACAACTACATATGGTTGGGTCCTTCGCCCGGCTAAAATTTTCCTGCATTGCAGTTTTTGGTTTCCTGCTGACCCGGGTCTGGATTGACCCGGGTCAGAAGATCCCCGAAGGGGGAGGCGCATTTGGGGAGCAGGGGGAGAGGGAGGAAAGGTTACCCACTGCCACACACTTGACCAGCGCACTGTTGACAGCAGTGCGGCCTGTGAGAGAGAGAGAGAGAGAACAAAAAAAAGAAACACAACACAATAGATTCAGAAGTACACGAATTTTAAAGGCCGTGTTCAAGTCGGCATGGCGGGAGTCGCGTCGCCGAGTTTGGAACAACGAGTCTCCTCTACAGGACCTCCGTTCTGCACAATCGGTGCTATGGTGGGGCCCTCTCAGGGATGTGCCTGCTGCTCGTCGACGCCGCGAGGGTCTTGTGCAAACATCTCAAGGCCATGCAACAGCTTGATAATATCGCTTGGTTGTGGTATATGGGGAGATTGGCGCTCCTTTCGTGACTTCCACAGCGGGCTTGCCAGCTGGATGGTCAACTTCGACGCTTTCGCACGGTTCTTGTGTGAACGTAGGCATCTGCCGCCGCCGCTAGAAACCGTGCGGGCAGAGAGATGGGCACCTCTCAACGTTGGTGCGGACTTTGACATTGCGGAGACGCCGCCTGTCGTCTTCCCGGACTTGTGCCGTTTCGGTGAGGCAGGCAAGCGCGTCGTCTTCCTCGTGGATTGCCAGCCAGTGGTGTGGTTGGTGAACGGCGAGATGGAGCTCACGGATGACCCATGCGCGCCGATTTTGAATCGTATCAGTAATCGTCAACAGTCCTTGCACCGTCTCGGTTGGCGCCCGCGGCGGGATCGCGATGTTTTTGCGGAGTCGAGTCCGTGGGAGTGGCACAGAGCAAAGGGCAATCTTACGAACGTCGCGCTGCGCGACTGGGATGCCACGCTATGGCACGAGGAGGACGATAACGAATTGATGGAATATGCTCTTGTTGTCACCAGCGACGGAAGGTACAGCGACGGTAGCGGATCTGTTGTGTGGAGCTTGCAAAGGGTAGCCAGTCCGATTGTCGTCTGCGCAGGCCTGAAGTATGTGTATATAGACAACGCTCACTTCCCATTCCAATGCGAAGTGATCGCGCTGCGCGCTGCCATCTCGCGAGTTGTGAATCGACTCTGCCACCGCTCTGCGTTGTCTTCTTCTGTGCAGTTCCCCTCTGGTGGCGCTGGCTGGTCTACACTCAGATGAGTGCATTCATTAAACATCTTACGGGGTATTTGTAGTTTCTGTCTGCTGCCCATCCGGCTCGCCATGGCATTTCGCTAGGCGAAAGAACGAAGAGAGAGAGAGAGAGAGAGAGAAAGAGAGAGAGAAACCAAAACCGACACAGAGAAAGCACCACACAAACGGAAGAGAGAAAGAGAGAGTGAGAGAGAGTGAGAGAGAGAGAGAGAGAGAGAGAGAGAGAGAGAGTGAGAGAGAAATATGACACAACAAAAAATAGTATCAGAGTCCGGGGTCCGACCGGACATTCGCTGTCGATGGGCGCGTGGCTGAAATGAGGTTCCGCGGTGCGGATTGTTTTCGTAAGCGTTGTTGTTAATATTACTGTTGGACCCCATGGAGGCGCCCTGGCGCTCTCGCTTCGGCGTTGGCTGCATTCCTTTGAACATTAGGGTCGCGTTCAGGCGTTTCGGGGGCGCGTCGAAGTCGGCCCCCAAACAACAACAGCTACAACAACAACAACACCAACAACAACAACAAAAACAGCAAAAGCAGCAACAAGAAGGACAACAACGCCCCCGCGCGAGCCTTCCTATTATTCTTCTCGGGGCCAGGGCTCTTGCTCGCCGCCCAAAACCAGCTTTCTCACAAGTCCTTTGCTGCCGCTCAGGATTTCCCAGCTGATCGGCGCTCGTCGCCCCGGCGCCGCAGGCGGCCCCCGTGCAAACAACGACGGCCCCGCTCGATATGTCCGCCGTGCTCTTTACATGCGACGTGCATGCCGCGCAGCCCCTTTTAGGCAGGGGAGAGAGGACGGACGGCAGGAATGGACAAAGGGGGGGGGAGGATGGAACACGAGAGAGACTAGCAGGAGGGGGCGAGGAACAGAAAACACGTGGCATATTCAAACTGGCAGATCGGGCGGGTAGACCCTCACGGGCGGGTCGGGAAGGCGGACCCAGGCGGCTATGTCGAGCAGGCGGATTGCTGAAGCGTGCGTCGTGCATGATCGCGAGGCAGTCTCGAGCGACAGCGTGCTCCCCAAAGAAATCATCAGGATATCCACATCGAGAGCGTGATTTCAGAGTGTCGAGGGCGCGGCGTCGCAATACATGGCCAAGAAGTTCCGCGCGAGCGCGCGATTTGGGAATACATCGTGAAGAATATCAATCGGGAGCCGCTATGACACCCAGATTGGTGACACCTCGCTTTCCTGTGTAGCCAAAACGACGGTGCGAGCCCTGGGAGAAACGCGGACACTGAGAAGATCCAGTGGTTATTGGGGAGGAGGAATGAACAACAATGGTTCGCCTGAAATGAGAGTTCAACAGCAACGCTAATCCAAGAACAACAAAACCAACATGTGTGTGGACTGTTCGCTCTTATCTGCTCGCGGTCCGTTCAAAACGTATATCCCAAACCTTTGATACCCGCCTTTTTTGTCTTCGATCATACCCCCTTCTTGGTCTATATCATTCTTACCTGCAACGTCTATTTCGCGCAGCTCCTAAGACAAGGGACGCGGCGGAGGGAGGAAAGAGGATATAGCACAAAGAGAGCAGCAGGAGAGGGGGGCCAGGAGCAGAGCGCACGCCGCAGAACCAGACGGGCAGATCGGGCGGGCAGACCTTATAACGGCAGGTCGGGAAGGCGGGCCAACGCGGCCAGGTCGAGCAGGAGTGCGGGGCAGAGCAGGGATCTGAACATCGACAGGACCCGGACGAAGGCAGGAAGTCAGGAGCGAAAAAAGGACGTACACGTACATGGGTCCACGCTGGTTTCGAGAGCACGCGTTGTGCAAATGCTCGTACAACGCGGCCCGTCCCGCGGACCGAGGGGCCGTGTTCATGTACATCGTTGGGCGCGTACGTCCTCTGTGGCCTCCAGAGGGAGCGGATGACCGGAAAGGGAAGGCAGAGCAGGCGGGGCGGGGGCGAAGGGAGGACAGCCCGCGGCACGGGCGGCGGGCGCCCAGGACCAGACCGGGGGCCTCGGTTGCAACGGCGCGCCCGCGCTGGCCGCTCGCCGGGAGGGGGCGGGAGGGAGGAGGGAGAGGGAGGGGAGAGAGGGGGGGAGGGAGGGGAGGGAGGGGGGAGGGCGGGGGGGGGAGGGGGAAGAGAGAGGGGAGAGAGGGGGGGGAGGCAAGCCAGGTGCGCTCGCGTCACATCTGACGTCCCCTCCCTCCCATCATTTACCATGGCGCAGGTTTCCCCCCTATTCGTACAATCGGATATCTCAGCATGGCGTAGCATTACATGGCATAGCATGGTGTTGAAGATTAGCGCGTAGCATGACACAGCATGGCGTGGCGACGCCCCAAAATGAGGGGGGGCTTCTGCGGCCCGCCCAACGAATCAAATAATCGACACCGAATGTGCATTCACTTATGATGATATCGTCGAGAAGCATTTTTTGAAGTTTGGGGCACATTTGGAAAGATCGAAGAGCATGCCGTGGCATGGCACTTGAAATAATGACGCCAGCGCTGCAGCGGGAACACGATTCGGAACGAGCGGAAGCGCGGAAATGAGGCCAGCGTTGTAGCGGGAGCACGATTCAGAACGAGCGGTAGCCCGAACATGAGGCCAGCGCTTCAGCGAGAGCAGCATTTTGAACAACAAACACAAGCGCGGAAGCGCAGAAATTAGAACACGTAGCCTGACATAGCATGGCGTGGCGACGCCCCAAAGGGGGGGGTCGGTACAGAATTCAACGGATCGACACGGAATTAATTTCCGATGGTTTTTGTTCGGGGGTGGGTGGGCATGTTCGAGATTTTGGAGCCTATTTGGAAGGATCGAACACCATGCCGTAGCATGGCGCTGGAAATAATGACGCCAGCGCTGCAGCGGGAGTACGATTCGGAACAAACGGAAGCGCGAACATGAGGCCAGCGCTGCAGCGGGAGCACGATTCGGAGCGAGCAGTAGCCCGAAAATGAGGCCAGTGCATCAGCGAGAGCAGCATTTGAAACAAATAAAAAAAACACCCAAGCGGAAGCTCGTTTCCTGGAAACCGTGTGTGTAAAATCCAGTGCGCGGAGGGGCTGGCCGCTTCCCAGACGCCACCAGGGGAAAGTGGAGAGCAGTGTTCATATAAATTAGTTGTGAAGGGAAAGGGGGGGGGGACGGGGAGATGGAGCGGGGAGGGGAGGGGCGAGTTGGGGGGGGAGGGGGGACGTGCCCCCGCCCGTTTCGCGTCGTGGCAGAGTCGCGGCGAGTTGTTTCTGGCCGGTTTCGGATTCTGCGGGCTCTCAGCGAGCAGGGGGGCCGTCGAGAGACGAATCAAGATGAGAAGCGCGTATTTGCGAAACTGTCCAGAGTTCCGTTGCGAAAGCACGGCTACGGAGTTCTGGATAGGAAGAATACTGACTCCAGGGATGGGATGAACGTATGGGGGGCCGCGCATTGAACGACGTCGGAGGTTTGGGAAGTGGCGGAGGAGGAGAGGATAGGATGAACGGGCAGTCAGAATATAAATGATGAGCAGCTCCAGACGACCGACGACTCTATTCAAAACTCGCTGGGTTGTGATTTAATTCTGGCTCCCCCATTGTAGTCGGGACTGCTGCGGAAACACAGTGGTCCAGCAGTACCTCCACAACGAGTCCGATTAGTTCAAACGAAATCATGTGACGCAGCTCGGGAACTCCCCAAACTTATTTGGAACGGCTCCCGAAGGTCCCCATCTCCTTGGGGCTCTCCTGAGGCCCCCTTTGGGCGTTCTTGGACGCCTCCTGGGGCTTTCTACAGCCGGCTCCGGGTGGCTTCGGCCGCCCAAGGGCACTCTCGGGCCGCAGGAGCCGGCGGTCCCTCGAGGCCGTCCTCCAGGTGGTCTCTTAGGGTCGTCTTGGGGCCCCCCCCGCAACCAGCCAGATCCAACATGTTATGCCAACGGCTCTAAACGGTTCCCTGACGTCCTGAAGCACTTCCTCCGTGGCCGTTGTCTATCACATGGCACGCGCCCGTGCTCGAGTCCCACATGTCACTTCCCCGTCGCGGTTTCTACCCCGGCACGCTGCTCGCCAGTTGGCGAGCGGCAGGGCCGCAAGGGTGAGGCCTCCTCACAGCTCCTGGAGACGGACGGTCCTGCACAGAAGCGGCCGCGCTGCGAGGCAGGTGGGGTGGGCAGCGGCTGCGGAACCTTGGGCGACGTCCTGGATGCTAAAGTGCGCTGGCGGTTGCACGGGAGCTGGGCACCGTGCCCAGGGCCGAGCAGCCCGCCTCCGCCGAGGGGGCCGAATTGAGCCGCTGCCTGCAGGAGGTGGCCGCCTGCCGCGCTGACATTGAACAAGCTCAGGCAGGAGCTTAATTACCAGTTTGAAACATATCCCTATTCCTATGTTTGACATCACCTCACCTCGATGCCGATCTTAGGGATTCCCTCGGTTTCTGAGGGCCCATCCCTAAAGTTGCCCTCGCCTTTTGCTCGCCCATCTCAGGGATAGGGATCAGTTCGAGGCTGGTTATGAGCCGGGTGCGCGTGCTCCTCCCTCTGTTGCCCGTCGAGGCGGCCGAGGCGTGCCGCCGTGAGTTGGCCGGCTGCCGCGCAGAGGTGAGCAGGCTCCGCCAGGAGCTGGCCGTCGTGCGGGAGTGGGTGCGGCCGCTCGACGAGGCGGGCGAGGGGCCCAGGGCCGCTCGCGCTCGAGCGGCAGCGGCTGCCCACGCAGCCCGAGGGAGAGTTGTCAGGCAGTCTGACGCTCCGAGTCGGGCCCGAGGAGGTTCGAGACCGAGGCCGCGACGCTGCGAAGCTGCCCCCCGACTCGGTCTGCGGGTTCCTGGCTCCCGGCCGTGTGCCCCGGAGGCGCGAGAAAGGCGGGAGCATCTTCACAGACCGCAGCCCGACGCACTTCTCTCTCCTCTGCTCGACTACCTTCGTGGCGTGGGCGGGGGTTTCACCCCGCCCTCCCCGAGCGCGGCCCAGGACGAGCTTCGGGCCGAGGCTGATTTCTATGGGCTCCGCAGCTTGGTCGCGGTACTGCGGCACTTGCGTGTCGCGGCAGACCACCACCCCGTGGCACTGGGCCAAAAGGACACTGCACTAACGGGGAGCCGCTGCTCGGCAAGCGCTGTTGGAAGGTACAGACGCCACGAACTTCGGGGTCCCGCTTTTGCGCTCTCAGGAGCACGATCATCTCCGAAAACTTGGGAAACAGAGTATCGTGGTGGCGGATTCGGAGGCGCCATGCCGTTACAGTGCCCGCCAGCGGTCAGGCGCGGTAAACTCTTTGGCTTCACGAGGATTGCCCAACATCTATTTGGGTTGTTGGTGACCCGTGCATTCCAACGCGCGCAGCAGAACCATGTGGGGCAATCCGTCATCCTTAGTCTCCTTTGCAACCGAAGTGCTGAGACCAGCCGCGTCGCATTCCATGTCGTGCGCAATCGCCAAGCCATTGTGTTCGAGGCTGAGCTCGGCGCGCATGGCCTGAGCCTCGAAGGGGAGTACCAACTCATGGCGTTGCTTGCACAGGCGGGTGTCGTGACCATCGACCAGGTCATTAAGTGAAGAGGAGCCTCGGGAAGGAGGGCGGCTTCTAAAGCACCGATGAGGGAGACTCAACTAGGGCGATGAGAGTGAGATAGAGAGAACAAACAAAAAAACAGAGAGGGATAGAAGAGAGAGAGAGAGAGAGATACAGAGACAGACAGAGACAGAGAGATAGAGAGATCTGGGATGAACAGGGGAAGGAGAAACGCAGAAGAGGCCGAAAGAGAGGAAGGGCGAAGAGGTGGATGGAGGCCCGGACGTAGGGAGGGAGGAAGGGAGGGATGAGAGGGAAAGGAGGAGTGAGGTGTGTGGGGCGAGCGAGGGAGGAAGGAGGGAGGAGAGGTGCTAGATCCGGGATAGGGCGTGGGGGACACGTGTGTGTGTGTGTGTGTGTGTGTGTTTGCGTGTGTAGCTGTGTGTGTGGCTGTGTGTCTGCGTGTCTGTCTGCCTGCCAGTGGGCGGGGCCCTGGTCTCTTTGCGTCTGCCAGCCCTCGCCGCGGCCTCCCGTGGACGGGTGCCCGTCGCGCTCCGGCTGCTGGCAGCAGCTGGGGGGCGGCGGCTGCCAGCAGCCGCCGCCGCCGCCGCGCGAGGCGTCCGCTCTCGGGTGCTGCCGGGCGCCGGAAGTCTCTGCGGCGGCGGGGGGACGTCGGCCTGATCCTCGCTCTGAAGCGCGTCCTCGGCTTCCCGTGGGGGTCCTCCTGGATTCAAGCGTGCTCATGCGCTGGACGTGGCTCTGCGAACATCTCAATCGGCTGCACGAGGATGGGGAGTTGTTCGCCTGCCTTGGCAGGTGGTGCTTGGAGGAACACGTATAGTGGCGGCGCTGATCAGTGCCACCACCGTTTGGGATTCACGTCTGTAATACGTAGCTTTTGGGCCGATGTGTTTGACTTCACCACTGCGCCGCAGACGCATGCATCCACGCTGCCCACTTCCCCTCCTTTCCCCTCTTCATCCTCCTATTCCTCTTCTCCTGGTGTCTTCTGTGGCGTGCGAGTTTACGTGGTGTTTCACGGAGCTAAGGCACGTGATTTGGGGTCCGTGTTTCGGTCGCGTGCGCAGGATTGCCCTGCTACGTTGACGTGGCTACTCCCATGGTAGTGTATCTGCGCTGGCCCATTGCAGGTTGGCCCTCAGGTGATTCCGGGCCTGCCTAGTGCATGTGGATGACCAGTAGTAGCATGTTCGATGATGTACATGACAATTGAAAGCCAACAACAATGCCGACATATGTGTTGAGTTGGTGTCCCGTTACCTCCTCGTGCGACAGTTGTTCGTCATTCGTTCGATTCGTCCAACGTGATGATTTGCCGCATGGGATGTGTACAAGATGCGTTCGGCGAGGCAGCCCCCGAAAGCCCAGCAGCATCATCCGGACCTCGCACAGGCACACGGGAGTGCCTGCCATACCAACATGGATGGATGGAGCTCTACCGCAGGCGTCGCACACACTTGTACACGCCGGTCGTTGAAAGTAGGTATCTTTGGATTCCCAGATCCCGATCTACTTCACGCGCCTTCCTACTTCAAAAGTCGGCATGCTTGTGCTGTGCTGTGTCACTCTCTGGGAGGACCTGGACCCAGTCCACTCTGTCCGCCTTCCTACCTCATGCTTCTACCCACCTCTTCCGACCGACGTGTACACACGCTGACAGTCGGGGACGGCTGGGCAGGGGAGTGGTTGGCAAGGGGGAGGGGGTGGCTCCAGGGCCGGAAGAGAAGCAGGGGCCCAAGCCAGCAGGGGAGAGTCCCCGGCAGCGGGCGGCTTCTCGGCCCCTGGCAGGCGAGAGACCCCTTCGCCGGAGACTGGAACACGTACACATTGCCAGCGGCTGGCTGTTTTTCAACCCCAGGACATGTTGAGGGTCGAGGGCGACGCCGGACATGTTTTTCAACCCTAGGACATGTTTTTCAACCCCAGGACATGTTTTTCAACCCCAGGACATGTGGTGTGGTGTATACTTGTTTCCCCGATGTCCCGTGGAAGCAACGAAACTGTATGCACCAGGGTCCCGTATACACCAGCATCCGCTCTCCAGTGCAGTTTCCAATGCAGGGCCGGAAGAAGCGTCGGTGTATAGAGTTCGATTCCCTACCTCAGTGCAAGCATTGTCTTGGGGCTGGCAGGAAACCGAAACCCGTCCCCTGCTCCTCCTCCGCCTTTCACTGGCAGGCTCACACCATTAGATCCAGCATCTATGGCGTTTGCATTGCAGCGAACGGATTCTGTTCAAGTTGGCAGGCGTTGCACTCCAGCCGTTCCGATTCGATGCAGACTTGGGAAGGGAGGGTTCGAGTAGCGCGAAGGATCGAGTATCAAGGAGGCTTGAGGAGCGAGGAGGATTGATCGGAGGGCGCCAATCATAGACCCATTTCGACCCTAGCCAGACCGATCGTGGGCCTGGAATCGGTTGATGGGTGTTCAGTTCGGGCTCGTCCAATTAAGGGAGGTGAAGACTGGAGGGGTATTGCGGCCGGGGCCATGATATCTCCCAGATCTCATCGGGCCTCCCCATTGCGTTTGAGGTCTTTTCCTGGCGTCCCTTCGTCCGCGCGCATGCCCCCGGCCATGGTGCGGCTCCCCCTTGCTGGGCCGAGGCCCTTTCCAAGAAACGCCCTGCTTGCCTCCAGGGTGCCCTGGGCTTCTTGGGTTTCGATGGTTTCGCTGCGGAAAGCGGGGCGCTCCCACAACAAAACTCAATGCACGTCCTGGGATCTCAGGGTTGGGCTCCTCGTGGAAGGTTCCTTGTGGACTGGCCTCCCCTGTGATCGAGATCCACGGCACGGTTCGGATGCTGCCAGACGCGTCTCTGACGGAAGGTGCCCCCAGGATGTCCAAGAAGCCCCCCGCGGCCTCCAAGACAACACCCCCCACGAGGCCCAGCGGCGCCCCAGCGGGCCCCAGAGTCGAGCGAAGAGCTGTGGGCACCCTGGGCCAGGGACGCCTTCAGCGACCCCGAAGGGCCCGAGGGGCCAGCGCCTTCCCTCCGCGCGCGGGCGAGGCGTCGGCGAGGGCTTCTCCAAGGGCAGCGCGCTGCTGGGCGCGCCCCGGGGGGGGGGGGGGGCGGGCGGGCAGCCTCCGCCGCGGAGCGTGTGGCGCCGCCGGCCCCGGCCCGGGCAGGGCTGGGCGGCCTCTGGAGGGGGCGGGGGGGCGCCAGCGCCACCGGCCTGGGGTGCAGACGGGCCTCAGGAGGGCGAAAGGGCGTACGGTAGGATTGCGTCGTGTCGACCAGCGGCGACCCCACCGCGGGCGTTCAAGGTTGAACGCCGCCGGCGACCCAGAATCGATCGATGTTGAACGATCGGACGTTGCGGGAACGGCCGATCGTTCAAGGTTGAACGATCCCTGCGGTGTCAAAAACCAACGCTGGGGTCGGCACGACACGAACCTGCCGTATGCAAGCTGGGCTGGTTCGCGCCATATCTGACAGCCTATCCCTTCCTCCCATCCCTTCCCGCTGCGCCGATGTTGATCGATCCGCGGACCGGGTGTCATGGACGGCCAGGAAGGGCCTTGTAGCCGTTGCCAGTTCTGGAGGATCTGGGAAGTGTACACGGCAGCATACAGTGGAACAAAAGGGGGCAGCCATTACCTTTGAACAGAAAAGAAGACGGGGAACGAAGCGCAGGAAGAGTAAGAGGGAGGGAAGGAGGATGTCGGTTTCGGTTTCAGCAGAAACGTGGTGACCACGAGCAAGCTTCGGCGCGAGGAGACGACTTACCCCTTTCGAGGAAGGACATGCCCGACTTGGGAGGGAGGCCCCGAGCGAGGCGAGACAACGACTCCCTCCCCTTGGCCCATTCACGCTGTCGGGGCTTCCATTCAATTGCACAAGCTTAGTGGCACTATCCACTGCATATGCTCCACAACTGCTACAATACAGGGCACCCCTCATCACTGCCAACAAATGCGAATCATGCACACCAGAAAACAGGTGGTTGGCCACCATCCGCAGCTCCTGCGCCTCGGGGACGACCAGCGTCTGCTGGGGTAACAAGCCTCGCGGGTCGTCTATTGGATCCCAGGTCCCTTCAGCTTGGGCAAAGACGAGAACCTAGCCCTTCTCAAAAACGTCTCTGTGAGCTATGACAGGACTCGTCATGCGGGCATCTTCATCAGAGGCTCCAGACCTCATGCGGGTAAAGGATAAACTTCCCCGAGAAGATTGGCCCCGCTCAAACGTGAGGAACACTCCTCTCTGGATGCGCCTGTTCTCCACCACCACCACCACAAGTTGGAGGGGGAGGGGGTCCTCCTGCTCCTCCTCCTCCTCCTCCTCCTCCTCCTCCTCCTCTTCGTCGTCCTCCTCCTCCTCCTCCTCCTCCTCCTCCTCCTCCTTCCCCCCTCCAACTTGTGGTGGTGGTGGTGGTGGTGGAAAGCAGGCCCGTGATCTCTGGACGGCGGGCAGCCTCCAACGTCACGCCGAGCATCGCCGGCTCGGGCCACCGAGGCCCGGCTCCACTGGAGCTCAGCACCGGCCGCCCGTGTAGCAAGGGCGCCCTCGAGGGCGCGAAGTTCTTCGCGCCTCGCGGTTCGGCTCCGAGTCCTCCTCGTCCTCCTCTGCTCCCCTGGGAGGCGGCGCGGGGGCGCGGAGCGATTCGCACTTCGCGCTCCGCGCGGCGCGGAGCGCGAAGTTGGGAGCCCTTCAGTGTGCAGCTCGGCTCCAATGGAGCTCAGCACCAGCCACCCGTGCAGCTTCAGCCTGCACCTTAGGCGACGCTTAAGAAAAATTCAAGTTTCCACCAGAGTCTCGATGATTCTTAATGTTTCAATGTAAATCCTAAGGTTTGAATGGAATGTGTGGGTTTTTACTCAAGTTCTGAGACTATGAATTTCTTAACCCATGATTTCTTAAGCATTTCGCAGGGTGTGGGCCTGGGCCGGCTGAGGCTTCATCCGTCGAGGGTCCGCCTCGCCTGCGCGAGCCTCGAGCGCCCATCCCACGCGTGCGCCCGCGTGCCGAGCACGATGCTCTCGCTCCTGCTGATCCTGCTGCGGCGACCTGCGGCTGTGCGTTGCACCCCCCAGGCGGGCCATTTTTCGTGACTCCAGATGTTGCCCTCATTCAGGAGGGGAAAAAACACACAGACACAAGTATGGGAAGGGGGGGGGGGAAGACAAAAGCTCAGAGCATGTTGGAAAATATGGGGAATCCTGCTATTTGTGTGTATTTCTTTGTGTGTCCCAGGGCCCCTCCATGGTGATCCTGCTGCGGCGACTTGCGGCTGTACGTTGCACCCCCCAGGCGGGCCATTTTTCGAGACTCCAGATGTTGCCCTCACGGATGGTCAGCACGACCACGCGGCCGTGCAGCTCGGATCCGGGAGAGCTCTGGGCGGGCGTGGGGAGGGCACCGCCTGCACCGCCGGCGGACCCGGGCATCGCCAGCGCGGAGCACCACGGCTCCCGATCTCCGCACCTCGTGAGCCTCCACTGTTTTGTTCTGGACGCCCGGAATGGGTACGGAAAGAATGGGTACAATGCCCAAAACAGCAGTTCCTGCTCATCTTGAATTCTGAACAGGGTCCGCTGTCCACGCCGCCGCGGCCGGTGTCCACTCGAGACAGAGGGCCGCCTGCCCAACAGCGGCCGCTGTTGGTTTGGGACAACAATTTGTTGTTGGGCATCGTGCCCATTCTCTCCGTACCCATTTCGGGCGTCCAAATTTGTTGTCCTTCCCTCAGGAGGGAAAGAAGCACACAGACACAATTAACCGTCGATTCCCGAGAAAATATGGGAAAATATGGGAAGTGGGGGGGAAGACAAAAACTCAAAAAATATGGGAAAATATAGGGAATCATTTTATTTGTGTGTATTTATTTGTGTGTCCTGGGGCCCCTTCAATTTCGGGCGTCCAAATTTGTTGTCCTTCCCCTCGACCCGCCGAGGCCCGACGTCCCGCATGTTCCGTCGACCGAGGAGAGAAAATGGAGATTGCTGGGTAAACCTATGCAGCAGTCGATCTCCTACAGGATCAGTCTGGCGCGAATCGGTGGCGGGCGTGCAGCAGCGGGGGGGAGGGAAGAAAGGTGCCCCTCTGCGGGCCCGAGAGGACCTCCCTCCTCTCCGGGCCCGAAGGGGGCCCCTCATTCGGCGGACCTCGCTGCCCCCCCCCCCCCCCCCCCCCCGTGCGTCTTGGATCACAGCGGTACCCTCGAGAGCCCCAGATATCAGGAGGGGAAAAAACACACGGACACAATGGATCGTCGACCCCCAAGGAAAATATGGGAAACTATGGGGAGTGGGGGGGAAGACGAACACCCAGAAAATATATGAGAAAATACGGGGAATCCTTTTATTTGTGTGTATTCATTTGTGTGTCCCAGGGCCCCTTCACCAGAGGAACACCGGAGAGCCCGAGGCGGGGGGCCCATCGATGACCCGATCCAGAGACAGATTAAGCCTCTGAGCCACAAAAGGCTGGGAGGGTAGCACTGTCCTCGATCGCACGCGGGGGCCAAAAGGGCATCGGCCTGGGCGGCCGAGTCGTGCATGGAATCATTCAGGGCTGGACCTGAATGGTGTTTTGGCGATTTCGTGGGCCGTCTTTGTTTCGATTTCGCTTTGCGGTAAGGGCGGATTGCAGACAAAACGAGGGAGAACGAAAACAAAACGAAAACCATGAACACCGTCTAGGTTCAGCCTTGGAATCATGCGCGCAGCACTTTCAAAAGCGGTGCACTGAGGTCTCTGGCTCGCGCCAGCACCTGGGGCACACCTGAGACGCACAGCACCCAGATTCGGGCAGTCGGGCCTCCGTCCAGCATCCCTCGGTCATGGTAGTTGGCAGTACGCAGAATACCCTGAGATCTATACGCAGGCCGCTTACCAAACTGTTTCAGGAGTTCCCGGAGAACCGTACAAATAACGCCGGCCTGGACCCATCTCCCCAAGTAATGCCCCGAAGTGTTCCCGCGGCACCCAGTTAGCGCGCAACTGACCCCGAGGGTCCTCCACAGGCGGACACGAGCATCCCTGGCCTTCAGGGACATGTGGAAATCAAGTTCGTCAAACCACTCACACGGGGAGTCGGAAATCCATTCCGCATCATGCAGTTTGGCAACAGAGTAGCAACGACAGGTCCCTTAACTCCCCGCCATCGGCATTTGGCTGCAATGGTTTCAAACAGCTCGGTCGCAGGCTGCCGAACTCGAGAGACCTTCATCTTTGCATGGGGATCGGAGCGAGCCACAGCGCACAGAACCTGACGGACAAAGTTGGTCCTCTCTAGTTCTACAGATCGAAGAAAGCACCGCGTTGGAGCAGGCCCCTGGGCTCCAAACGTCTTAGTCAGATACCGCACCTTGGGCGCACGTCGCCTAGCTTCTTGCCTCCGCTTGGCAACCACAGTCATCCTCTGGCGCCTTCCAGCCGCCGTGGTGGACCCCTGGTATCTGGCGTGGCTTTTGAACTTAAAAGGAAGACCCACGGCACGACGACGGTTGGTGATGCGCATGCCCACAGCTTTAGAAGAACATATCAAGGCGGACTTGTTACTGACTAGGCCGTCCAGCTTGTCGATCTCATGACCGAGCCGAACAGCAGCAGGAACAATTTGGGCGAGGAGCTCTCCCTCCTCGCCCTGCATGTTCTGATACATACCATCCACACAGGCACGCGTGTGGATACTCTACTAAACTCACCGTCCAAGGTGAAATAACAGGCCTCCAAGGCCCCGTACACATAGGTATTGACCCACGGCATGTCTTGAGAGCACCACGGAATGATTCAATTCCCCGCCTGACTTTCAACCTCGAGCATACAGAGAGTTGAGGTGTGGATGAGCATAGCCAAGGGGGGTCTTCAGTTTTGCACCCCCCCCCCCCCTGTTTCTCTCGGCGGGGAAGCAACTCCGGCCCTCCTGGTTCTCCTCGTCCTCCCCTTGCTCCTTCTCGTCCCAGTCCTACGAAGGAGGAGGAAAGGAAGAGGAGGAAGAGATGGAGGAGGAGGAGGAGGCGGAGTAGGAGGAGGAGGAGGAGGAGGAGACTAACTACTCATAGCCGTAGCCGTGCCGTAGCCATAGTCCAATTGTATCGTGGTCGTAGTCGTCGTCGCTGTTGCGCGGCGGGTACCGCCGAGAAAAATGTTCCCCACTATCGGTTGGACCCCAGTCCGTCAATAAGGGCGTCGAAAGGAGAATTTGTTTCCGCTATTGCGGGGGGATTCTGAAGACCTACCTCGGTTACCCAATTGAAGGAGGCGGATTGGGTAATCCAACCGCCTGGCAAAGTGAAGAGAGGAATTAGGAGGAGAAGAAGAAGGAGGAATTACGAGAAGGAGGAATTAGGAGGAGGAGGAGGAGGAGGGGAGGAATTAGGAGGAGGAGGAGGAGAAGAAGAAGAAGAAGAAGAGCATGGGAAAGGAAGACAGAGACGACGTCGACGACAGTAGTCGACCGTAAAGGGTCTTCACGGGTCGTTTGCCCTGGGAGTGTGTTGGAAGCCTCCTGGGGTCATTGCGGGGCCTCCCTGTGGCAATCTGCCTCTGCGGCCCTCCGGGGCAATTTTTGGAGGCCTTCGGGGTCCCCTTGGCTCCCTCTTGGGGCCCTCCTGGGGCTCTCTTGGGGCACCCTCGGAGGGGGCCCTGCGAGGGGCCACTTTTGGGGGGCAGCGATCCAAGGAGAGGGCGGCATGGATTCGCCTCCCCCCTCGGCGACAAAACAACCCCGCTCTTCGGGGCCGTCTTGGGTCCATCTTGGGCCCGGCCCGGGGCTCTCTGGGACCATCTTGGAGCCATCTGGAGGCCTCCAACGCTGGTCGGAGTCGAACAGACGAGAAGGCAACACGCCAACTGGTTTCAGATTCTGGAAGGAGCTGGGCTTCTCGGGTGGGTCCTCGGGAGGCTTCGTGGCTACTTCGAGCCGTCTTGGGACGGCCATGGCGCCGTTCGGAGGCATGTTGCGCATCTTGAGTTATCATTGGCTATCATGTTTGAGCTTGGAGGCCATCCTGGGCTGTATCTGGGAGCCAGACTGGACGCTTCAACGACCCGCGACCGGGCCCGTCGAGATCCAGGGAGATAGGTAGGAGGAGAAGTAAAGCTTTTCCCGAAGGGAAAGAAGGATGATGCAAGACTTAACTCGTAGAACCAACCACCTACGCCCAATGGGCTGGCTGGATATTAAGCTTCCGAATCGTAAGTGATGGGGATGCCTCAGGCGAAATGCCCAGCCCGCCTTACTGACACGTCCGGGGGAGGAGCTATCCATAAGGACACAGTTGCGGTGGGCAGTGAGATTTTTTTAGTGTCTGTGTACGACAGAGATGGAGGGAATGGAACGACCACCACCAGGATTCACAGGCCAGTTTGGGCGGAGATCTTGGTTGATATTGGGCCCTAGCCAGGAGACGGGGCAACAGCCGCCAAGACCTGGGCCGAATGGGTCGCCTTTCGGAGACATTGTGGCGATCTTGTGAAGAAGGAGATATGAGAGAGAAGGTGGAGACCCGCAGCAGCGGATACGAGAGGAGAGGGTGCTTCCTCGATTGGCATGCTCGATTCGGGGGATCTGGTGACTCCTCTCAGAGGCCACCTGCCACGTACCCCGGCCATCAACGAACAGTGGTGCGGAGCTGCCCTGACATTGTAGATGCGTCCATCAGCATTTTAATTTGCTCCCACTGCGGGAGGAGGGCAAGGAGGAGGAGCTAGATGAGGAGAAAGAGGGGAGCTGAAGTGTATATCGTCGGGCGGGTGTAAGCTTTGACTTTACAGAAGGTGTGCAGTGTTTACTGCTGGGGAGTGGAGGTGAGATCGTGGGCACATTCGTCTTGATGTACGTGGTCACTCTTGCATTGCGAATGTTCGGATTGAACTGTGAGACTGGCCCAGGACTCACCACTCTAAAGTACGCATGGCGTCAGCATCCTCAGTGTTACCCCACACATCTCCTAGTGTGTCTGAAAGGGCGGCACGAGAGGCAATATTGTGCCGTGATACAAGATTGCCCAACTTCGGGCGCAGCGTGGATCCGACGTGCCCGTTTAGGCGCACGGAGCCTGGTACAATGTGACGGGGGTGGAGCTGCGCCTGCGGGGGGGGCATATTTGGTTTTGTACAGTCGGCACTGATTAGTAGGTCGATCTTGCCAAATCAAGGGTACCCTTGTGTCCTGTGTCTCGCGACCGATGCCTCCTACATTCCTATGGCAAAATGGCGCTCGGAAGGGTCTTGTGTCCTCTCGCGTGTCCTGTCCAATCAAGTCCGACTGTACCTCCCGTGAAATTTGTATCGGGCTCCAGGGGATGGCGGTTCCGAAATGGCGAACAGCGTGGATATTCCTCGACAAAGAATCGAACCGGGCTCCAAGGACGGTTCCAGACAATAGAAGTCGGTTCTTGACAATAGAAATGAGGGGGTCTCGTGCGGGACTTCTTCGAACAGCAGGGTCGAATCGGGTCCCAATGTCGGTCCCAAACCAGGTTCGAAGCCGGTTCCGAACAATAGAAACGTGGGTGTATCGTGCGGGACTCTTTCGCAAAGCACATTCGAACCAGGTTCGAAGTCGGTTCCAAACAATAGAGAGGTGAGTATTGTGCGGATTTCGTCGAGCAACATGTTTGAACCAGGTTCGAAGTCATTTCGAAACAATTCAAAAGGGAGTGCTTCTTGCGGGACTTCCTCGAAAAGGTGATTCGGTGACGCTGTTGCTGTGTCCAAGGAGGTGATTGTTGTATTTCAGCGCGCCTGTTGGGGCGCCTTTTGGGCCATCTTGGGCTGGCCTTGCTCGCCTCGTGGGCCGTCTTGAGGCTCTCATGAGCCGTCTTGGGACTCTCTTAGAGGCCTTGGGCGTTCTTGGAGGGCGCATTGTCGGCTCCTTGGGCAGTCTTAGGGCCACATTTGGCCGTCGGGAAGCTGTCTTGCACGGCTTCGATTGTTTTTGCCATCTGAGGCGTTTCTTGATACAGCTTCGAGAGTTTCCAGGAACTCACAAGAGCACCTAGGAGCTCCCAGGAGCTCCCAGGAGCTTCCCAGAGCACCCAGGAGCTCCCAGGAGTGGCTGGAAAACCCGGGGACCGGGCCATGAAGAACCTTGTGACCCTTTTACCTCTCAGGGCTGCATGAGCCTTGATGCACTCCACTACGTGATGAAAGCACGGTGTTGTTTGCACGAGCCCTGAGGCACTCCACCACATACTGAAGGCACGGTGGCGGATATACGTATGGTGGGCATTTCGACGTATCCCATTTGTCCGCCAGATTTATTGTTCAAGTTTCAGGTGGCATATTTGCATTCGATCGTGCAGAATATCCTCGATAGTTGGTCGGGGCGGCACGCGCTGCACATAAAGAGGACCTTCACGAATTGGATCTCATCTTGGCAGTGGTTGGGAATGCGTACGTATGTTGCTCCACTCGGTGCTCGTCTGGGAGTAGAGTTTGCATGCGGTGTTCAGTTTTTACCAGCTTTGATTATTGCGCCATCATTATCTCTCCATCTCTCTATCTCCAGTTGGCTCCGTTTACACACGGTACATATTTTTCGTGTTGTGTGTATGTGTACATGTACCGATTCGGCAGTTCTTGAAAAGGTCTTGGAGACCGCGGTGAACCCAATGTCGGTGGCAAACCGAACAGGATTGGCTTATGTTTATGCTTTAACGTGACAGTTTGGGGAGGGTCGGCCTGCACGCGCATCATGCTGATCGGCCCACCCCATGCGTCGGTGTCACAGAGGGCCCACGGAGGCTGGAGGCGCATGGGCATTCCCGTCTGACAGGCATGTTGCATTCGTTTGCATGGAGACGGGCTGTGTGCACTGGGTCGCGAGGCAGAGGCAGCGTCAGTCCAGCCCGCTTACCAGACCGTCGACGACCATTCGGGATCGGTCGAGAACAGGGAGGTAGTCGTAGTCGTAGTAGTAGTAGTAGTAGTCGTCGTCGTCGTCGTCGTCGTCGTCGTCGTCGTCGTCGTCGTAGTAGTAGTAGTAGTAGTAGTAGTAGTAGTAGTAGTAGTAGTAGTAGTAGTAGTGGTAGTAGTAGTAGTAGTAGTAGTAGTAGTAGTAGTAGTAGTAGTAGTAGTAGTAGTAGTAGTAGTAGTAGTAGTAGTAGTAGTAGTAGTAAGTAGTAGTAGTAGTAGTAGTAGTAGTAGTAGTAGTAGTAGTAGTAGTAGTAGTAGTAGTAGTAGTAGTAGTAGTAGTAGTAGTAGTCGTAGTAGTAGTAGTAGTAGTAGTAGTAGTAGTAGTAGTAGTAGTAGTAGTAGTAGTAGTAGTAGTAGTAGTGTAGTAGTAGTAGTAGTAGTAGTAGTAGTAGTAGTAGTAGTAGTAGTAGTAAGTAGTAGTAGTAGTACTAGTACTAGTACTAGTACTAGTAGTAGTACTAGTACTAGTAGTACTAGTAGTACTAGTAGTAGTAGTAGTAGTAGTAGTAGTAGTAGTAGTACAGGTAGTACAGGTAGTACGAGTAGTAGTAGTCGCAGTAGTCATAGTCGTAGTAGTCGTAGTCGTAGTAGTCGTAGTCGTAGTAGTAGTAGTAGTAGTAGTAGTAGTAGTAGTAGTAGTAGTAGTAGTAGTAGTAGTAGTAGTAGTAGTAGTAGTAGTAGTAGTAGTAGTAGTAGTAGTAGTAGTAGTAGTAGTAGTAGTAGTAGCCGTAGTAGCCGTAGCAGATGTGGTGGTAGTAGTAATAATACAAATAATAGCAGTCACATCGACAGTGCGCGAAACACTTGCTGGCAGTCGCGCCCTTGGCCATCGGGCTCGCGGTGTTCCTCGCCCACTCGGTGCCAGCATCTCTGTGCGAAGGAGGGCGAGGAAAAGAGCAGTGGTTGCCCCCCTGCTCTGAAGGGCACGAACGATGACAATAACATAAAAGCTCGGAGGTCCGCGCGGATTTCTCGGATCCGCGCTGGACGCCCCTCCCTGGCGCGCGAAGCGCGCCAGGGGCGGCGCCAGAGGCGCCGCCTGGGGGGGTCCAGCGCGGATCCGAGAAATCCGAGCGGGCCTCCGAGTTCTCATGCTTATGTCATTCTTCGTTCTCCTACGCCCCCTTCCTGCCTCTGAGCCCGCTTCTCCTCGACAGCGTCCTCGTTCTCCCCTCCTCGTTCCCGTCTCGCCGAGGCTGCGGTGCCTCCCCTCCTCTCCCGGGCTGGCCCGTCGAGTCCGAGCCGGGCTCGCTTTCTCCTTCCCCTAGGTCCTCGGGGGCCTTGAGACGGAGGGTTCATGCAGACGGGGGTCGGCCAGAGCACCCGATCTTGCAGGAAGGATCCTGCAGGGCCAGGGTCGCATTAGCTTGGGTTTGGGTGCAGGATCCTGCAGGATCCTTCGCATTGACCCGGGTTTGGGTGCAGGATTTTGCAGGATTCGACAAGGCCTGATGGACCCGGGTCTGGATTGACCCGGGTCAGACCCCCGACCCTAGGTTCCGATGAAGATTTTCCCAGAAGGTGCAGGAGCACTGCAGAAGGTGTTCACCACCCAAAAAAAGATTGTGTAGGGGGTAGTGTGTCGACCCTATCAATTCGACGATTTGTGCCAGCGACCTTGCGTTGCATTGATCGTATCGGGTAGCCTTTTGGACATCACATCCGCGGGTGACAGGGAGGAGTCAGGCAGGCCTTGGACGTGGAGGACTCGCTCCATAGCGTTCGAGAGTGCTCTCAGAGCACTCTGGCTCTCTCTCAAACGGCCGTGGCTACCTTCAGATCCGTTGGCTATGAGAGGTTCCCCACGTATCATCACCTGGAGTTTTTCACGTCCCGGCTTCGCTTTGTCCAGGAGGAGGCCAGTCCTTTGGGTGTGGCCAGGGAGACATCACAGCGAGAAATCGGCCGAGGCTGGGAAGGATGGATCAAAGTATGTGTCATGTCGGCTCTCGTCGCCAGGAGGGCCATAGTTGGCACGAGGGGTAAGAATGACCTTGGTCTTGGAGGGTCCCCGTGTGTTCCTCGTGTTCGGGCTCTCCACTTTGAGATGATCTTCGTTTGGGGTATCTTCCTGGGGCCTCGAGACCTCGGCGAAGGGGCCAATTATTTTCTTGACCCGCTTTCTTGTGGCCACGGTCTGATAGTGTAGTTCTTGGAGGTAGGGAAGGAGGATGAGTTGGAAAAGGAGGAGGAGGAGGGGGGAGAGAATGAGGAGGGCCTCTTCTTCCTCATCTTTCTCGTTTTCGCTTTGGTATGTTACTTGTCATGTCGATTGCCTGCGGAGGTGCTGATACCAATCGACGGGTGCTCGATCAACCCCACAAGGCCATACCGATGCTTCCTGTGGCGCGGCGGGCCGGTGATGCGAGTGTATTTTGCATGACGTCTCGCGATGTTCTGCTCCTCCTCGTGCAGCTGCTGGGGCTGTGGGCACTTCGTCTGCCATTGCTTCGTCTTCTGAGCATTCTCTTTTTGCGATCGGTCGGCCCACGCAGCCGTGTTTCTGTTCTTCTTCGGGGGCCGTGGTGGCCTTCGTTCCCTGCCCGATCAGCATGTGGAGCAAATGGTGGAGAGGAGCATGAGAATGAGGCACAGTCGCAGTAGGACAGGAGGAGGGGGCTGGAGAGCGAGTGGGAGGAGGAGGTGCAGGGACGAGGAGGAGAATCGCAGCAACATGGGCTGGGCCCGCTGTAACGTTCGTCCTGTCCCACTTGGCATTGTACTCGCTCTCCTACGTCTGACCGCAGCCTTGGCGGTGAGACAGGGGGCCCAGGGCGAGAAGGAGGAGGAGGAGGAGAAGGAGGAGGAGGAACTCGAGGGGTGCCGTGGAGGAGGAGGAGGAGGAGGAGGAGGAGGAGGAGGAGGAGGAGGAGGAGGAGGAACTCGAGGAGGAGGAGGAGGAGGAGGAGGAGGAGGCGGGTCAAGCAGCCATTGGCGATGCCACTTGTCGTTGCCGTTTGGCCGCGCGCTGCCGCCACGGTCCTCGCGCACCTCCCAGCGCTTGCTTTGGAGGAGGGGACCCCTGCTCCGGGCCGCGACGCACCCGCGCGGTGCGCGCGAGGCGGTGACTGCCCGGCGGGAGGGGGGGAAGGCAAGCAGGCAGCAACAGGCGGTGCCGCTGCACCACTGCTCGTGCACCTGACCGTACAGTGCCGTTTTTGTTATACATGCTCCGCGCGCGGACCATGTTCAGTATCGTTTAACCGACCCCCATCCCATCCCCATCCCTTTCGAGACTCCCACCAAATTACCACCCCAGTTGGGGATACACCCATCGAAACCCTAAGGGAACGGCCTATATCCCCATCTAGGGGGTAAATCGGACAGTGGGGCCCAGGCCACGCCGCTGGGGATAGGGATCGGATAAGCGATGCTCACATGTATTCAAAATGCAGGGACTTAGTATTAAGAGCAACGAGGAGTTCATGCATAAGTTCATTCATACATTCATCATGTATTTAGAATCCGATATTCAAAAACATCCTATGTATTAAAAACTGCCCTGTAGGGCGCTCCTGCCCCAGGTCGTTCGGCCCCGCTCTCGTCGCGTCGCTGACCGTGTCGGGCAAGGGGGACGCCCTCAAGGACGCTCCGCGCGCGCGGCCCCGGGGTGCCCTCGAGGTAGCGGGTACGTTCCGATCCTCGCCGCGTTTCTCCTTCCCCCATCCTTTCCCCCCCTCTCCTCCCCCCCCCCCTCCTCCATCCCTCTTCCCCCTCGCCCATTTCTCTCATCCCTCCCCTGCCCCGTCTCCATCCTCCCTCCCTTCCCCTCCTCCTCCCTCCTCCCACCTCCATCCTCTGCCATGCCTTCTCCCTCCCCCCCTGTCCCCTCCCTGCTCCTTCCTCTTTCCCAGAACAGCTCCCAGGGGATCTCCAGAGAGCATCCAGCGACCTTGGGCGCACCCCACGGGACAAGGGACAGGAGGGTGGATCGGATTGGCGGGGGTGCAACGCAGGTCTCGTAGTTTCCAGTTTGTTCAGCACTGCGTATGTGCATACCTCAACCTGTGTCGCGCTTGGGCATTGGTTGATATCCAGGTCACCAGTGGCACGAAAAGAGGTGATTCTGATTTGCGATTCTGTGCGGCCCACAAAAGAAGAGGGCTGCCCCTTTTGTTGGCACGGCCAACATAGGCATGCACAGAACGTGGACGAAAGTCGACAACAGTTTCTGCCCATTTTGAGCAGGACTCGCTGTGGGTGTCGCCGCGGACGTTCATGTGAGACAATGAGTCTCCTGCCCGAGCAACAGCCGCCAGTTTTGAAAAGCAGTCGCTGTGGAGCATCGTCCCGATTGTGTCCCTCCTCAGGTCGGACGTGTTCACTGAATAGAAGGATGACGATTCGGGGATAGAATAGGACAGGTGGTCCTGGGGTCCTGGGGAGAGCAACGCTGAAAACAATCAGCAAAGAACCCTGAGGGAGGTGCGCACACAAACACACGCAGCCGCACTCCAAGGTTGTGCTGCTTGCTATCGCGGCAGTGATTGTGATGAAGATAAGGGCCAGGTCCATCACCAGGGCTCAAGGTGCCCAATCTATTTTCTTGGAGGGGCTCGAAAACTGCACGCGGCGCCCTGCAAGTGCTCTGGACCGTTTTCATCATGACCCGTATTGGCAGACACCTGACCGCAGGACATGTGGATCTTCTGGCTTGGGCCTCTTCTTGGCGCTGCACTTGCCGTCCCTGCGTCGGGGGGGGGGCGGGTCGCCACGGCAGAGGCTGCGGAAGTGCAGAAGGCAAGGGAACGCGTCGAGTCGAGCCGTTTGACGTCCTCGTGCTCCTCCTGTTCCTCGTCCTCGTCCTCGTCCTCGCCTTCTGCCTGTGCTTTCTGGGGCCAGGTGGCGACAGACGTGGTGGGGGGTCAGAGTCGGTTCCTGGTCAGGAACTGTGGGCGGGGGGCCCAAGAACAGAGCTCCCAGGACGGTGCTGGGGTCGGACCAGGTGGGGTCGGTCTTGCGCTCAGAGTTGTCCGGTGAAGGGGGGCCCAGGAGCAGAGAGGGCAGGTGTCCCAGTTCGCCCCCCACACGCCTCTGGGGTCATCGGGTTTCTCGAGTCCCCCTTTTGCCAGCGCGAGGGCGCAGTCCAGGCGTTGGAGATGTGTGGAGCCGCTTCCGCCGAGGAGGGCCCCCGAGGGGCCCTGCCCTGCAGATGGAGCGAACAGCCTCCCGGGCCTGCCTGGGGACGTTCGGGACCAGGAGGAGGAGGAGGAACGATGATGAGAAGCGAGAGGCCTTGGGCAAGACAACGCGCCTCCACCCCCACGCATGCCCCCCCTCCTCTCTCTGGGGCTGGGCCGCGGAGCGTCGAAACCCGATTGCGAGGATGTCTCGCCGAAGCGACACGAAACCAGTACCCCTCGCTTCCACCTGTCGCTCCCGTCCGGAGGGGAGTGAGGTGGGGTCTGGGGTTGTTCTGTTTAGGAGGTTGACAGACCTTCTACCCTGACGCGTCGATTAAGGAATTGGCCGTATTCGGTTCGCGAGAGGGCGTCGCGGCCGTCATTTTTGCGGGTCCAGGCCCATTGGTTTCGGTCTTAGGTTGTTCTCACTAAGGGGAGGTTTACTAAAGGGCAGCGTGGAGCGAGGAGTCGCGATGATCTTCGATCGTAGTCGTCGTAGTCGTTGGCAATTGCGCCGCACCGCCGAGCCCTCGGGAGCTTTGGGTGTCTCTCTTCCAGGGGGGCGGCGTCGCAGAGACGTCTCGGCGTCACACGTCCGAGATGCTGAAGAGACGGTGGCCTTGTGGGGTCATTTTGGTGGCCTCTTGGGGGCTCTGGGGGCCTCTCGGGGGCCTCTTTGGAGCTTCTTGGGGACACGTTTGGGGTTTGGGGGGATACCTTAGAGGGGATTGATCCTCTAGCCGGTTCACGTTCCCTTTCTCGGGTTCCTCCTTGAGCCTTCATGGGCGTCTCTGGGACAGTCTTGGTGGCCTTTGGGGCCCTCCTGGGCCGTTTTGAGGCCCTCGTGGATTGTTTTGGGGCGATATCGGGGGCTTCTTGGGCTCTTTTCGACACCCTGTAGATAGAACAGGCGAGTGCGTCAAGCAGGTAGAGAAATCTTAGAACGATCAATTATGTTTGCCTTTTTGCGCCCTCTTGTGCGTCCTGGGCACTCTTGGGCCGTCGTGTGAGCCTGGGGCTGGTTGAGGACATCGGGGGTCATCTTGGACCCATCTTGGGCCGTCCCAAAGCAGCGCACGGTGTTCATGAAGCTTTCTTTTGGAATCGTGGCGCGCCTTGAAGTTCTTCTGGTGCAGGCTCCAGGGGGAGGGATGTGTTTGGGGGGGGCAACTATCTCATTCGCCGAGGAAGCCTCAGGGGGTCAGCGAGTTCCCCCCTCCCCGACCTCAGACTCCAGGAGGCGCTTCTGGTCCTGGCGGTTAGTTGTTTTCCTGAAATTGCTTGCACTTATCAGGCGATCGCAAGCATGGATTAAGGGGGCGTGGATTAGCGACGGGTCCCGTTTCCATTTTGGAAATCGCGGATCTCCGCCGCCGAGCGAGGCGGCACCGGCCGCATCTTGGGGAGGGCACCTGCCCCGATCCATGGATTTGGCGACCGCGCGCCAAATTCATGGATCGCTAGTCTGCACTCTGACTTCTGGTCCTGGCGGTCCGTTGCTTTCCAGCCGTTTGCTTGCACGGAGGGTGTCTTACCCTCGCGCCGGGCTGGCCGGGCGTCCGGCCGTCCTCGTTCCTGCGGGCCCAGACGGCCCCGTTCCCTTCTGTCGCCGCACCACACAGCTTACACAGCATAGCTGACACACTAGATCTGTACACATGCCACACGACATCTATATTGCAGCGCATATCTTGCACAACGTGTGCCACCCACGCCAATACAGTGGGGGCGCGCATCAAGACACCATACGCTGTTCGTCAGGGTATCCTGAGTTTCTTCGCTCCTCGCGCTGCGCGGTGGCTTCCCGCATCCGTTGAAGGAGCTGCTGCGTTCAGGGTGCTCCGGGTTCCCCTGTGGTGTACCTCGCGCGCGGGTTCTCAGGGTTGGGTTTCTTGCGAGGGTTTCTTGCGGCCGCGCCCGCACTGCATTAGATTTGTACACATGCCACACGACATCTAGATTGCAGCGCATAGCTTGCACACCGTGTGCCACCCACACCAATACGCACACCACATGACCTGCACCGCATGGCTCACACTGCGCACTTTGCACCGCGTAGCTCACACCCACAACATAGCTTAGACCACACAGCTGGTGGAGGAGAGGCACGGGGCACGTCTCAACGGGCTGGCGGCGTCTCGTGGCACTATGGGCGGGACGACGCCTGGGATGGATTTCTCCGGGGGGGGGGAGAGAGAGAGAGAGAGAGAGAGAGAGAGAGAGAGAGTGAGAGAGAGAGAGAGAGAAAAAAAAAAAAAGAGAGAGAAAGAGAGAGAGAGAGAGAGAGAGTGCTGGGGTCTGGGGACCTCTGGTGGCCCTCGGGCCCCAGGGTTTCTGGCCCATCCCCGCGGAGTCACGCTTGTGAGTGCTCACTTTGTCGCGGGCCCCAGGGTAGCAGAGCTCTTATTGAGGCGTAGACGGTTGGACCTAGGTCTGATCTGATCTGGCCCCGTCTTCGTGTTCTCCCCTCCTCTTCACCCCTCCCTAGTCATGCTCCCCCTCTTCAACCTCCCCATTCCGCGTCCTCTTCCTCCCTCTTTTCCTTGTCCCTCTCCATTCTCTTCTCCTCGTTATCCTGCTGTTCCGGTTTCTCCTGCTTCCCTGCGCGCATATGGTTGAACGAGTGCATCTCATTGATCCAAGGATTTGCATAGTGTTGTTGTATAGCCCGTGTGCGTATGAGTCGACACATGTTCAAAGGTGCCGATTGTTCACGCAGCTCGCATGTTGCGAGAGCGCATTGACGGTCGGTAAATGGTTAGTCTGAGTGGTTGGACACATGGCGTTTCAAGGTTGAGAGTGGGATGAACCCCACGGCCTTGGCCATTTTGGGCCCGCCTTCACGCTTCTGGCAGGCATTCGTTGAGTTCGGTTTGGGGGAGCGGCGCGCCGCAATATTCAGCCAGAGTGATGTGCTGTTGATCTCAGCTGCTCGTCGCAATGCCGCGCAGTTGCCCCCAGTTGCAATGATACGATGGTTTCTGCCAGTACGTAGTCGTCGCCATCTCAAATCTCCGCTTTGGGTGGCCCAGAGATTAGTTAAATTCTAGACGCTTAGGGTATCCCCACCAGCCCGTCCAGAAACGACGCCCAGGCGAGTAGAGGGTCGTCCTGAGGGGCTTTTCGGCGTCTTGGGTGCCTCGGGGGGGCCTCTGTGGGCCGTTCGGGATCCTCTTTGGGGCCTCCTGGGGGCCTCTTGGGGCCTCTTGGGGCCATCTTGGGGCCTTTGGGGGCCTCCTGGGCGCTTCTTGGGGCCATCTTTGCCCCTTGGGTGCCTCTGGGGGGTCTCTTGGGGCCTCTTGGGGGTCTCTTGGGGGCCTCCTGGGGGCCTCTTGGGGGGCCTCTTGGGGCCATCTTGGGGCCATCCTGCGGCCTTTTGGAGGACATCGGCCAAGGAAGTGGGGTTCCTTAATTAGAGCCCCCCCCCAGGAACTCCAAAACTCGTCTCCTGTACCGCTCTGGGACCGCTCTTGGAGCGCTCTTCGGCGCTCTTGGCGCCGTCATGGGGCTTTCTTGGGCCCTTCTTGGAGCTATCTTGAGCCATCTTGGAGCCATCTTGACGCCTCGGATGTGCATCGCAAGCGAAAAAGTGAGAACACCAAAAACATTGATTTTCCTAGGGTTTTGAAGCATTTTGGCCTCTTGGATGCATCCTAATGATGCTCTTGTGGGCACTTGGAACCGTCTTGGAGAGTTCTTGGAACGTCTTGGAACATCATGGGGACCATCTTGAGGCATCTTGCGCTATCTTGAGCCATCTTGGAGGGTATCTTGGGCTCCCTGAGGCCCTCTTGGAGCCGTCTTGGGCCATCTTGGGCGCTCCAACGCGCCGCGGAACCCCCTGTCCAGGTCAGTGGGGAGGGGGTAGGGGGAGGGGTAAACCCCTCCCCGAAGGGGAAGAGGGAGGGGTGGAAGAGGAAACTCGTTAAACCACCGACGCCCAGAGGGCTGGTGGGATTGGCCCCAAGATCGCCCGACTCACTCCAGGAAGGGGGCGGGGCGAAGAGGAACATCCCCCGAGGCCCCCCCGCCTCCAAACCGCCCCCCGCCCCCCCCCCGGCCGACAGGGAAGGAATCAGAGGGAAGGAGCTTCCCTTCGACTGGATTACGACCTGGATCGATTCACTTCGGGTTGGCGAGCTTGGAGAGCCCCAGGTGGACACAGAGGGAGGGAGAGTTTCGAATGGGGACGCGTCTCCAAGGACCACCCGTGGACGACAACCCCAGAACTCCTCACACGCGTCGATTGGGTACAAATTCCCTCTTCGTCTTGCACTCCTCCCTGCCCCTTCCTCCGCTCTATCCTGAAGATTCGCTGGCTGGGATAGGTACTCCATGATGGCGCCATGAGCCCGGGATCCGCTTGCATGGGACAGGCGCTGCTGTCATTGGCCAGCATGCTCCATCGACCTGATTCAGCTCGGGCCGCGCGCGACGGGGGCCAGCGCGACCAGGGGTCAGCCAATCTCCTTGGGCTGAGCCTGGTATGGGGCCGCGTTGGGCCGACCCCTCCCCTTTGTCCTCCACTGGCCTAGGTTTGGGAGCCACGATGCGGCATGCTGGAGCTCGCGGCATTGCCTTGGTTGACCCAGGCCAGCGCTGACTAAGATCCCTCTCGCTTCGCGGGGTGCATGTCCGGAGCACGTACAGCCCAGTCGTTGCGCGGCCTCTGGGGAGCCTTTTGGGCCTGACTCTTGGGGGCCTCTCGGAGGCCGAGATTCCCCGAAAAGCAGTGGCATCGTCCAACCGCGGCATCGCAGGCTTGGTGTGTCCTGCCTGCTGGAAGACTAGTCCGTACCAGAGCGGCCGCAAGAAATAATACAGCAGGCGCAATGTGTCGGTGTGAGATGGTTTGACCTGCTCGTCTGCCGCCGCGTGGGTTTCCCATGCCGTTCGGCCGTCTCGGCGTCGTCCAGAGTGCGTGCTGCACGCATCGTGGAAGTCACCTGGCGCCTCTGGGGCCTCTTGGGGGCCCCTTCGGGCTGTTCGGAGTAGTTCGGAGCATGTACAATCCAGTCGTGGAGGCCTCCTGGGCCCCTCCTGGGGGGCTCCTGGGGGTCTCTTGGGGTCTTGGACCGTCCTGCGGCGATTTCTTGCGCTGTCCAGTCCCTTCGGAGGCAGTTTTGGTGGCATGTAGAGGCCGCGTTGGGACTCCCTTCGGGTCATCTTGGGCCGTCTTGGGGGCCTCTCGGGGCGTGTTTGGGGCCTCTTTGGGCCGTCTTGGGGCCATTTTGGGTGATTTTGGAGGCTGCTTCGGCCGTCCTGGGCCTCTGAGAGTCGAAATAGGCGAGAACGTTTTCAAAAAAAACCTTGAACACCGTTTGGGAAATCAACGATTTGGGCATTTGGATGCGCTCTTGAGGGTCCTCTTGGGGCCCTCTTGTGGCGTCTTGGGGGCTTCTTGAGCCCCCTGGGATGTTTTTCTGGGGCCCTCTTGGCGCCATCTTGGGGCCGTCTTGGGCCGTCGTTGGGCCATCTGGAGCCGTCTTGAGGCCCTGTTGGACCCACAGGCCCACATCATTGATTCCCCATGGGTTTTTGGGCTACGGGAGTGGGGTGGGTCGACAGATGTGGCGCAGCGGTTAAGGGGGTTACAGGCGGCCCGGATTAGTAGGTCGACACTGCCAGATCAAGAGTACCTTTGTGTCCTGCGTTTTGCGACTCATGCCTCTTGCATTTCTGCGGCAACGTGGCCCTCGGAAGAGTCTTGTGTCTTGTCGCGTGTCCTCTCCACTCGAGTCCGACTGTAGGGGAAACGTAGAATTGCAATACAGTGCCATACATAGCAATTGTGCAGTCATTCAATCATTGGAAGCATAGGATACGTTGCATTAAAGAGTTCGCCGGAACGTTGCATTACAGCATCCGCGGACCAGCCTTCAGCAACATGTCATCACCTCTGGACGTGGATTCCTCTCGCTTCGCGGGGTGCACGTCCGGAGCACGTACAGTCCAGTCGTTGTCGGGACTCTGGGAAGTTCTTGGGGGCCCCGTGGAGGCCTTTTTGGAGCTTCTTGGGTCCTCGCGGGGGCGTCTGGGAGGCCTCTTGGGGGCCTCTGGGAGGCCTCTTGGGGACCTCGGAGCCCAGTGTGGGCGTCTTGGGGGCGCTATTGCGCTGTCTGGTCTCTTCGGAGACTGTCTTGGGGTACTCTTGGGCCGTCTTGGGGGCCTCTTGGGCAATCTCGGCGGCCTCTTTGGGCTGTCTGGGGGCCCTTTTGGGCCGTTTTGCAGCTCTCTTGAGGGCGTCTTGGGTCGTTTGGGGGCCGTTCGGAGGTTGTTTCGGCCGTCTAAGAGTCGAAATAGGCGGGAACGCTGAAATCTTCAAAAACCCTCGGAAGGTCAAAGATTTGGACTTCTGGAGGCGCTCTTGAGGGTCCTCTTGGGGCCGTCTTGGGCGTTCTTGGGGCCTTGTTGGGCCCCCTTGGGGCCATCTTGGGGCCTTTTGGGGGTCTTGGGCGACGCCCCTGCGCCCCTCGCGTTCGTCGCGTGTCGCGCGAAATTTCAGGCTCGGGTTCTTCATCTTTGCCGTGCAGTCCTTGCAGAAGCCCAGCCTCTCTTTCCTCTGAAGCTCACATTTCGTGAGCGCCTCCTCTGCTAGCCTCCGCGTGCATCGCCCGAGCTCGTCTCGTGGCATCGGCTTCGCCCCCCCATTCTTCCAAGTCCGCGCCCTCCCCTCGGAGAACCTCCAACAGCTTTCTCGCGCCAGCCATCTCGCCGGTAGTATGGGCCTTCCTATCCAAAGGCCGGAAGGTCCATGGGTTTTCTCGCAGACGCACCCGCGCATTGGCGACGCAACTTGAAACCCAACTTGCGCCGCGCCCTCTTTCGAGATCCGCTACGACTGCGCCCGCCGTTCGCCCCTGCGCGGCGCGCGCTGCGACTGCCAACGACGGCGCGATGATGAGCTGCGCGCTTCGCGCCCAACGCTGGATGCCTCGGGCACTCGCCCAAGAGCCACTGGCGCCTCTTCGATGGGGGGATAGGAAGCAGCCCCGGCCCCCAGCCTTGCAGGCGTTATTTTCTCGTGTGGAACTCTACAACAACCACTTTGGGCAATGCAGAAGGACGTCCCCCTCTTCGTCTTACGCGACCTCGTCCTCGCGCAACGCCCATCCATAATCGTCGCTGCGCGACCCCGCAGAAGCCGCCTCGTCGACCAATCCGAATTATCCACGAGCCCCACGGGCATGCCCGTTGCCGGCGGGGGGCCGCCCCGGCGAGCTGGCTCGCGCCGTCTCGCGGCACCCCAACCACCTTATGTTGTCATCCGCCGTGTGCGGCCGCTCCTGTTTCTTCCCATGGCACGAGCGATCTCTTGCTGCGACCCATGGAAGTTGCTCTGCTCGCGTGGCACCGAATGTCCTGCCAAGCATCGATCACAACGGCTTTACGCATTTCTAATGCCGAGATCGCGCGTCATCGCGCGGCGTCGCAACGAACTTCTTCTTCCCTCGCTCAACTTTGCACCCCCAGCACACAGACCCGCAGCGTTTGTCGATCGCCCCTGCATCTCCTCGACGACGCGCGCCCCCGCGCAGCGGCGCGCCGTTCGCCCGCGATCCGGGCGCGCACGTTGGCCTGCCGCGCAAGAATTGCTCGCGCCTTCAGTCGGCGCTCCCATCCTATGACGAAGCTCAAAGAGATTACCCACGACAAGGGCTCCTCGTGGGCATGTCTCTCGCGCGTCTTCTGCCGCCTGCCAGGGTAGCTGTAGGAGACGGAGTAGTTGCGCGCATGCATAAGTTCCCATGGCAGGGCCGCATCAGGAGCGCGCAGGAGACGGAACACCTGACGAGGGAGTATAAGGGCATCTTGGAGTGCAAGGCGCGCAAATGATGCCATTCGGGCGCCCGTATCGTGGTCCGTGGAAGTAGGGCCAGAAAAGGAAGAACGAGGCAGAGCGAAGCCGATGAGGAGGAGAAAGCTGAGAAGGAGGACGTGCAGAAGCGGAAGGAGGGGGAGGAGGGAGAGAGGGAGGAATTGGACAAGGTGGAGGAAGAGGAGGAGGAGGAGGGGGAGGAGGCGGACGAGTCAGGATTTTGTCTTGGGGCCCTGCCCAGGGTTTCCAGGGGCCGTTTGGGACGTTGCCGGCACACCAGAAACGCATGTTTGCACACTGGATCTGGCGACCTTCTGCAGGACCCCTGTTTTTGGTCAGAGTCTCAGAGATGCCTCGTCGGTCTCTTCGGAGCGCTGTCGGGTGACTAAAGGGAGAAGCGTCGGAATCCTGAGGGATGCTTCTTGGGATCTTTGTATCTTCGGGGCTGACATTCGCAATGTTCGCCGTGCGCGCTTGATTATCGAATGGCCCTCGGTCCATTTCGCCACAGTGCCTGGCTTGAAGGTACGCGACTGCTCGGATGTTTGATGAGGTCTCGTTGGAGGCCTTTCGGGCCTGTTAGCTTCTTGGGCCTGGTAGCCTTTTAGTAGGCTCTTGGGTGCGTTTTGGGGTTTTCTTCGGACTCCTGAGGGCTTCTTGGGGATGTTTTGAAGTTTCTTGGGCCAATCCGGGAAATCGTCGGGCCGATAGCTGGAAATGTCCGTTGGAAGTTCTCCTCTGAGTTTTGTCTTGGCGCGGTCCTGGTGCCCTCTTCTCTCTTGGGCTGTATTGTTGTTGCTGTTTATGTTTGTCGTGTTGGGACCCTTGTGGGCCGTTTTGGAACTCTTTTGGGGACCGTTTCGGCCCATATTGCACGTTATGAGAACTCAGGGGTCGATTTGTTTGGGAATATGTTTTCCCAAGGGAATGGGGACATTGTTGTTTTTGGGGGCCTCTTGGATGCATTTTGGGGCGTCTTAGAGGCATCCTTGGCGTCTTTGCAGGATCTTTCGGCGATTCTCGGCCCTCTTGGACCGTCTTGGGGGCCTCACGGGGCTTTCTTGGCTGTTGTGGGGCCCTCTGGCCCCCCCCATCGCGCGTTCACCAGGGGGTCGTGCCGGGCCAGGGGGGGCGGGGGGTCAAACGTATTTTCGGGGTCCCTGGGGGAGGTAGATGTGGGAGAACATCCCACACGCCTGGAAACCCACAAGGGTCGGCGGATTAGCGCGGACCGGCTAAACATGAGGGTTGCCCCGGCCGCTTCAAGTGCCACGCTGCAGGCCGTTCGCTGAAAAGGCAATGTGTTATTGGACTCTCAGCCCCCAGACTCCTCTGAGCGCCTTGTTTTAGAAGCCGCTATGGCTCCCCGCCTTGCTCTGGGAGTTGCTGGTTACTGGGGTAGCCGAGGCTCTCGGGGCAGCGTGCGGCTCGAGCATGCCCGGGCGCGGGCTTGCAGCGGCTCGGTGCCGATCCCGGCATGGATTTGTGAGAGGTCCGCAGCGGGAGTTCGCGTCACATTGCAAAAGGGTCTTGCATTTTTCCCGAACCATCCTGAGGTGTTGGCTTCGGGAGTGGACAGACCTCCTACCCTGACGCGTCGATTAAGGAATTGGCCGTGTTCGGTTCGCGAGAGGGCGTCGCGGCCGTCATTTTTGCGCGTCCAGGTCCGTCGGTTTCGGTCCCAGGCCGCTTTCACTAAGGGGAGGTTTACTAAAGGGAGGTTTGTCCACCGCCGATAGGTCCTCGTTTTAAAGAGACAGCGCCCCGCGTCCCTCCCCCCTGCCCGCCTCCTCCTCCTCCTCCTCCTCATCCTCCTCCTCCTCCCGCTCCTCCCTCCTCCCCCTCCTTGCCCCTGCCCCTGTCGGCGTCGTCATAATCGCCATCAGCTTCAGCTTCAGCTTCAGCTTCAGCATCAGCATCATCATCATCATCATCATCATCATCATCATCATCATCATCAGCATCAGCATCATCATCATCATCATCATCATAATCATAATCATAATCAACATCATTATCATTATCAACTTCAACAGCATCATCATCACCATCGTCATGGTCATCATCATCATCATCATCATCATTATCATCATCATCATCATCATCATTATCACCGCCATCATCATCACAGCATTCATCATCTTCGCCATCATTAACAGCATCAGCATCATCATCATCCTTATCATCATCATCATCATCATCATCATCATCATCATCATCATCATCATCGTCATATCCATCCCCTTCATCATCGTCATCATCGACATCATCGACATCATCGTCATCATCATCATCATCGTCATCATCATCATCGTCATCGTCTTCGTTATCGTCATCGTCATCATCGTCGGTATCGTCGTCGCCGTCATCGTCATCGTCATCGTCGTCGCCATCATCATCGCCCACCCAGTACAGGGGTTCGTGGCGCCACAGAGAGCTCCACCGAAGGTCCCAGTGGCTGCACTCGCCTGCGCTTCCCCCACCCAGTACAGCGGTTCGTGGCCCCATAGGGAGCCCCACCGAAGGGCCGGGTGGCGGAGCTCGCATGCGCCTCCCCCGCCCAGTACAGCGGGTCGTGGCCCCATAGGGAGCTATACCGAAGGTCCCTGTGGCCGAACTCGCATGCGAATTCCACAGCCAGCACAGCGCTTCGTGGCCCCATAGAGGGCTCCACTGGAGGTTCCAGCGGCGGAACTCGCATGCGTCTCCTCCACCCAGTACAGCGGGTCGTGGCCCCATAGGGAGCCCCACCGGAGGACCCAGCGGCGGAACTCGCATGCGGTTTCCCTATCCGGTACAGCGTTTCGTGGCCCCATAGGGAGCTCCATTGAAGGCCCCAGTGGCGTAATTCGCATGCGTTTTCCCCACCCAGTACAGCGGGTCGTGGCCCCATAGGGAGCCCCACCGAAGGTCCCAGTGGCTGCATTCGCGTGCGCCTCCCCCACCCAGCGCAGCGTTCCGTGACCCCATAGGGAGCCCCACCGAAGGTCCCAGTGGCGGAGCTCGCATGCGATTTCCACAGCCAGCACAGCGTTTCGTGGCCCCATAGAGGGCTCCACTGGAGGTCTCAGCGGCGGAACTCGCATGCGTCTCCTCCACCCAGTACAGCGATTCGTGGCCGCATAAGGAGCTCCACCGAAGGCCCCAGTGGCGGAACTCGCATGCGCTTGCCCTATCCAGTACAGCGTTCCGGGGCCCCATAGGGAGCCCAATCGAAGGATTCAGTGGCGAGCTTACCCTAACCATTACATCGCTTCGTGGTCCCGTATGGAGCTCCACCGAAGGTCCCAGTGGCGGAACTCGCTCACGTCCCCCCCACCTGGTACAGCTGTCCGGGGTCCCATAAGGAGCTCCAATGAAGGCCTCAGTCGCTGCACTCGCATGCGTCTCCCCCACCCAGCACAGCGCTTCGTGGCCCCATAGGGAGGGAGCTCCACCGAAGGCCCCAGCGGCTGCACTCGCATGCGTCTCCCCCCCACCCACTACAGCATTTCGTAGCCCCATAGAGAGCTCCACCGAAGGCCCCAGCGGCTGCACTCGCATGCGTCTCCCCCCCACCCGCTACAGCATTTCGTAGCCCCATAGAGAGCTCCAATGAAGGCCCCAGTGGCTGCACTCGCATGCGTCTCCCCCATCCAGCACAACGTTTCGTAGTACAGCCCTGTCGGGCAAGCTCGAGCCCCAACAACTCGAGTCTGACACGTATATGTTCCCCTGGCAACATGTTCTCATTGCCTCCCTGCCGCATGGTGTTGCCAACCTCCCACGAAGGGCCCGTCTGCGCACAGCGTGGCGCTCGTTGCAGCCGGGGCTCCTTATGACTGCATGCAGCGATAGCGTCTCTACCGCGGGCTGGTACCGCTGCGCGCAGCTCACGCAGGTCGGACTGAGCGGCAGAAAGTATGCATCCTGGGAGGTTCCTGCCTCCTCCCTTGCCCTCCCCGTCGGCTTTCCCTCCCACTCTCCTGCCCTGCAAGCCCCCTCCTTCCGTCGGCAGCGACCTCCGAATCCTTCCCTGGCCGATAAACGATTCGAGCAACTCGATCGGCGGCGGGGGAAGGCTCGGAGTTCGTCGAACACGCGGCGAGAACCGAGCCCTGCCCCCGCCGACCCTTGTCGATTCAGGAAAATCGATGGTTGGTGGGGGTGGGTTCGGATGTCGCCACCTACCTGGGTCACTCCCTTCCCCCCCCGGCTCCTCTCGATCATGCTAGGTTAAGATATTGGTAGTCCCCAAACGTGGTGGTGACAACACCTGGCGGTGAGTCTCGGGCGATTTGGTGTCACCACCCGGTTTGGGGACTCGTGCGGTTTTCCGAGGATGTCCCGAACACTGGTAGGTCCAGGAGTCGCAAAACCCGGTGGTGACCCCGCGTCCCCAAACCCAGCGGTGACCTTTTTTGGGATTCTAGGTCGCCACCTTGTATCTCACCACCTGGTTTGGGGGTTCCCAAAAGATATCCCCCCGCGGCTCCCTCCGCCGGAGGAGGGAGAAGCGGCACCAGCACCGCAATCAGCCCCGCCCCGCCCGAGGAGGCGCGCGGCACCCTCCCGAGCGGTAGTGCCTCGGGCAGGTCCTCGAAGAACAGCGGCATCACACCACCGCGACGAGGACATTGATTCCGGACTCTTGGTTCGGCCATACGTGAGAGTGACCCTTCGCCAGAGTGTTTTTTAATGTGGGCCCACTGGGATTCTCCGATCGTTGAATGCGTTGCGATGGCAGCGGCTTGCGCGGCTGGGTCTGGTCTCCGCGCGCACCCCCGAAAGTTGCGCACCAAAGCTCACTCTTTCTTCGTGTCACTCTTTCGTGTAGCTGAGTGGTGCATGTGTAGCGCTCTCTTGCTCCCAGAGGGGGGACGGATAGTATAATCTCACTCCCCTCGTAGCTCTGGTTGCCCCCCATTTAACGGTGGATGCCGTCGAGGCCCTCTATGCAGTCGTGGAGGACGTCGAGGCATGGTCTCTTGGAGTCCTCGTGACCCGTTCTTGGAGTGCGCGGAGCATGAAAAGGTCCAAGATAAAAATATGCGATGGTATGTTCCCACAGCAGGCGCTGCTGCAGGGAGGAGCCCTGCAAGCGCTCAGGATGGGGGCGCTCTCGGCGAGTTTCAAGATTGCTCTAAAGGAGCGGCGGCGTCTTTCTCATCTAAAGGAGCGCCGTCTTCCTCAGAGTGGCCAAGCGGGATGGACTTGCAGGAGAGCGCAACGTGGAACATTTCGAGGATGCCATCTGCTGTGGCCGCTGCTGGTGTCCATTTCTCCCTCCCTCCCTTCTTAAGTGTGGCTCAGGCGTGGCTCAAGGCCATATTAGTAGAGCGTGGTTCCTTACATTCCCATGCTCCTACTACTATGCAGGGCTTCGAGTTTTGTCTGGGTGCCCGTGTCTTCGGCTGCACACGTGAAGATGCCGGCTGAGCAGCACAAAATGGAGACTCCAGTGAAAGGCATGTTCAAATCATCACATCAAATGCGACGCTTGGGAAGTCCACCGTTAAAGTTGACGAACCAGGACCTCGAGTTTTACAAGACCGGTTCCAGCAACGTCTTGTGGGAGCTGGCGAGGTGACCGGCTCCATCATGACGAGCAACACCCTCCAAGCACGTCGTACGAATATTTTCCGGAAAGCTTTGAACGAGCAGTTTGACCCGATCCGGAAAGATATTTAGGCCATCATCATGGTCTCCAGACGGCCATCAACCTTCTGAACGACGAGTTTGACGGCTTGACCAAAATAATTGGTTCATTGGATTCGTTTAGCACGGCACAACCGCCAATTGTTGGTGCCATTTCTGCAAGGACAGCATCAAGTACAGACAGGGCAACGCACAATAAACTGCAAGAGCTTGAGTGGGATCTTCAACTGCTCAAGCAGCAGCGTGTTTTACCAGCTTGCCGCCCACAGCATGAGCCTGATGACAAACGGTCGTTGGTAGGTGTTTTTGGGAACTTTGTGGGGCTCGGCATTTTTAGCACAGCGGCAGCATGGATCAAAGGGCAACTATCCGAAGTAGACGGCCCCATCCCGTACACTTTGTAAATGAGAAGGCAACACGACCGCAGTTTTGCACGCAGAGTTTGCTACCATGCTGGACAGGAATACTGCAGTGGCGACGGCGATGGGGAAGCAGAGGGAACACAGTAAGAATCGGGGGGCGTCCGATTTGATACCGGAGCCGCTGGAGGAGGACGTCCTCGATCTGATCCGCCCAATTTTATTCCTAGCATTTCGAATTTTTGGGGCGAAGTTCCATTTGTTTCTAACGAGTCGTTCTAGTTCTCTTGAGTCCAGTGGTCTAGGGCGTGCCATGGCCAAGATACCATCATGCTTAGACCTGCGGGGTCAGGCGAATTTTCCGCGGCCTGCATGGGCAACGACGCCAGTCCGCAGCAAAACGTTCATATTCATATATGATACTTATTTCATTCGTCTCCTGCTACCCCCATCCCTGCCTTCTTCTACATTGCGTTCTTACTTGGCGCTTCCAGGGATACCGACCCGCCCAGCTACTTCGGCACAGGCCTTTTCTTTGGGCGTCCGCAATTTCCAGGCCAGGAAGGCTTCCATAATCCTGGAGCGAAGCAATATTTGAGGATAGGCGGCCAGCATGAGCAGCCACTACCCCTTCGCAAGTCAATCTCATGGCCAACGCCACAGCCGGCGATGTTGCCTTGCATGCAGGTATTCTGTTAGATTCCGTTTCTATCTTAAGACTCGTATCCGAGTCTGGGCAAATGTACCATCATGGATGCGCGATCTCACGCTCGCTCTCGTGGTCAGGTCTTCTCTGTTCGATGCCGTGGTTTCCGACTTCAACGTCGCCCTCCTTCTGATTTTTCTTTTTCAGCGCCCCGCCGTGATGAAGGCCGCGGTTGAGAACGCTTCTACGCGCAGAGCATTTCACATCGACATTTTTTCTGCGGGCGACGCGCATGGCCCGGGCAAGGGCGCGGGCCCCCGCATTATCCCAGCGACCAGCTTTCTGGGGGCAGGATTCTGGGGGGGGGTAATGCGTCGGCATCGGCACCTGGAACGCATGCCATCGCCATGGACGTCATTGGCGATGAGATTCTGGATTCGCAGTCGTCTGGTAGCCAGGTCCAGGCGCGAACGCAACGCAACGCGGCCACGTCGTGCGCGAGAGGCCCCGCAGAGACTAAGCCGGCGGAACTGACGCACGTCGTGGAGACATGGCATTGATATCCCATGGATGCAGGAAGCCAGACACGCAACAATTGATGTGGACAGTATCGACGGTTATTTGTTGACCCTTTCTGGAGAAGATACGGAAGGCGCATCGTTGTCGGGTTTGGATTCAGAAGTGCGCCGCGGGCCCGACATCGCGTGGCATTTTACGAGCAGATCTCCCATCGCACATGCCTCCTCAAAATGATAGCGAGCCAGGGCGCGCTTGGAATATTTACTGCCAATTCGCCTTGCAATTTGAAGCCGATGCCAGAGCGCCTGATTTTCTTCGCGAAGCTTGCCTCTGAGTGCACGGCGTGCCGCGCTAGTGCCGGAGAGTTCTCGGTCGGCGATTTCGACGCGAGGGCGGGCGCGGCGGGCGCCAGATGAAACGCTCTAGGTCAGCGTCGGCGGGGCCGGCGATCAGCGCGCCATGTGGAAGTGCCTAGACGAGGTATATATATATATAGATATGTGAAGTCCTGCGTGGGGGGCACTGGATGACTGCCCGCGCATTTTCCCGCCGAGCATTGGCGTGGGAAGTGGCGCTCGTGGAAGCGGGGGCCCGACGCGTGGGCGATATCACCGATGGCGCGTTCCATTCTCTGAGTACCGTCTTCTGTGATGCTGCTCAGATTGGCGCTGTCAATTGGATGGGGGGCCATGGCGCAGCCGCTCTCGCAACTGTTCCATCGCTGACGTGGCGCTGAACCGCGCGAGGCTCGCCGACGTTGCGTCGTTCGCCCCCTGTCGGTCGAACTCGTCGGCCGGGCATTTCCGGGGGCCCCTCTTGCAAGTGCGAGCCCGCGGCTTAGCGCGCAAAGCACGCGGGGGGGCGCGAGAGCCGGCATTGCCCAAGCCAGACAAGCACCACTTTGTTGCAGGAGCACGTGCAAGGAGCCATGGATCTCAAAGCACACCTTGGACTTGGTCGACTTGCGAGCCCGGGCGAGGCTGAAGGCAAACGCCCCGCAGCCCAGGGCGCGCTGGAACGGGTTCGTGCATCGGCGAAGTAAGACGAGACATCGCGGATGACTGATGAAGTTGCTGCATAGGACTGGGCCCCCCGAGACGAGCGCGCCGGCCTCGTGCCCGAAAGCGCGGCGGTTGGCAGGATCTGGAGGGCAACTTTGTGGATGGTAGCTACGAGGCAGGTGCCATGGCGGAGTATTTAGAAAAAGTGCAATGAAATGTTCGCCCTGCAGATGTTGCGCCGTGGAGCCATTCGGCGCATCTCTGCCGGCGTCGGCGGCGGTCTTCACGCGGCGACAAGTCGGGGGAGCAGCGCGTGACTTCAAGCGCGGCCAGGCGGCGGGCCCCGACGACGCCCTAGCTGAGCACTGGAAGACGCTTGGAGGCACGCCTGGGAGGCTAGAGTGGATGACAGAGCTTGAGCGCATATGCTGGACGGGGAAGTTGGTGTCAAGCCATTGGCAGCATGCAGTCATCAGCGCGATCTACAAGAACACGGGGCCCATCGACAAATGCGACAACTACAGACAAACCGATCAGCCGTTTGTACAGCAGCCACAAGTTCGCGGCAAGTTACTAGTCAAAAATTGCGAGTGGCGCGGGCGGGGACATTGACGAAGGCGCAGTTTGGATTTCGCCGAGGGCGGGGTTTTTCGGACGCAATGCCCGCAGCGCGGAGACGCGCGCAGAGAGGGAAGGGACAAAAAGCAATGGTGGCACTCGATCGGGACACGGCTTTCGACTCAATGCGCGTTGGCGCCATGCTCGTTGCACTCCGCGCTTTCGGTGTCCCAGGGGCCATGCTGCGCGTGCTAGGCAAGATCTGCCAGAGCAGGTGCTTTTTGCGTAGCGGACGGGCGACGCGCGCCCCAATCGCGACCGCGAGAATCTGGGGTCTCACACGGCTGCCCTCTGTTTTTTTCCTTTATCGCAATGGCGAGACTTGTGGCCATCCGAGAGACCAGGGACAAGTTGCCCGCAGACGCGCGCGGGGCCTTGGACGACGGGGGAATTTCAATACTGCTGCATTCTGGCGACGCGTTGCTGGTGGGCTTGCCCCAATACTTTGCAATTGCTGCTGGAGATTGTGGCGGGCGCTGGAAAATGCCCGGGATGGGTCTGCAGTGGGGCACGTTCAAGCTGCCGCGCGAAATGCGACATTGAATTGGTCTCCCGCGGAGGCGCCGCCAGCGCGGCGAAGGGTTGCGCGAAGTATTCAGGGGCCGCGTCGCACACAATAGGCAGGCTTGGAGGAGAGCCTGCCAGAATATTGGGAATGGCACGGTGCGCGTTCTCTGATTTCGAACGCACTCGGAAGCATCCGTTCATCGCCAAAGCCAGGAGGCTGGAAGTCTTCCAATCAGTTGTTTCGACAGGTTATGCGCTCCATGAACACGCCTGAGTTAAACCAGGCGGAACGAAGAATGCTCGATGGTTTTCATGTTCGCTGCCTGCGTCGCATCTCTCGTGTCTCGAGGGCATCGAACAGGACGGTGCTCGGGCAGGCCGGGCAATCCAGCTGCGCATCTCACTTCTTGCGACGCCGGCTGCTCTGATTCTGGAAGGTTGGCAGAGCTGGCGATGGCGCTGTGCTCCGCGCGCCGACATTCGAGACCGGTCGCCTGCGACCCGCCGGCGGGGGGGCGCGAAGAGCGCGGGGAGGCCTGGGCGCGAGCGAGCGAAATTTTTATGCGAGAAAGTCGCCCCGCGCTTCGCTTCCGAAGCCGCCGTGCAAAACTGCGTTGGCGACGAACGTAACTGGCGCCATTCCGCTTCGAAAATAGCCTTCGGTGCTCAATGTGAATCCTGCAAGCAGCCGGCAAATCCTGCTGCCGCGTTCCGCTTGCGCGCCAGGCCGCGTT